GCCTGGCACCAGCTGGGGACGGCGCAGCTGCAGCTGAGAGTGACCAGCCAAGAGAGAGCAGGGAGTGCTTCCCCACAACTGTTAGGTCCTTGATGGACGGGGCCAAGCATCCCAGGAAGGGCCGGCGGCGTGCACGGGGCCAGGGGACACAGGATGACATCTGACCTGAGAGATGTTCTGAGTCCTGAAGGTTCAGATGGGAGGCTCACCCCAGGCCAGGTCCTGCAGCTGGCAGAGGAGGAGGACGCCACGCAGGGGCGTCTGTGTGGGCAGAGCCACACTTGCAGCTAGGCCAGAGGGCCTGGGAGCACCCACCGGAGAGGGTAGGGGGAAGCAGACTCTTCATGCTCTTTACAAGGGGAGGGACGACGGGAGGAAACCAAAGGAGAAGAGGAGGGAGCAGCAGGAAGACGGGGTGACTGCGGCACCTGAGGAGACTGGCGCCCTCTGCCACAAATGCAGGGAGTGGTGGTGGAGGGGCTGATGAGATCATGGGAGACTTGGGAAGGATTGAGCCAAAGGAGCTGCTGGCCTCTCTCCCTTCACTTTGGCAGCAGCAGGGAGTCTGTGGGTCCCCACAGAGCAGGTGCCATGCCACCTCGCCTCAACCTCCCAAGAAAAACACGCCCCTTAACAACAGATCCGTGCACGAACGAGAGAGTTGACGGGGAGCACACATTCTGCTCCAGGGTGAGTGACGTTCAGAATCAGCACCTTCCCAACCACCCTCTCCAACCTCCCTTCTGGTCATCAGCCTCCAGCTCCGCCCGGGATGAGAGTAGCGGCTGCAGTAGATCCTTCTGGGTGCCTAGCTGGCCACAGTGGGGAGAAATGCCCAGGCCTGACACACGGGTTCCACAGAGCCTGAGACAAGCTTCCAGGGAGCCCCTGGCTGACGGCGCTTCAAGACTCCTGGCAGGAGGGAAGAAAGGAAATCAGGGAGCAGCCTCCCCCCCCCCCCCCCCCCCCCCCCCCCCGCCAGCTCTGAGGCAGCCTGTGCAGGCTTTGTCTGCAGCCCAGCCTCCTCCTGAGCAGGGCTAGGGGGCTGCAGAACATCTGGCGGGTTCTGGTGTGGTAGGAAAGAGGCCCCCAGGGCTCAGCCTGCTGTGAGTGTTCATCAGCGTTAGCAAGCCGGGCCCAGAGGGCCCACCAGCTCCCCTCTGGCCCCGGGGGGGGGGGGGGGGGGGGGGGGGGGGGGGGGGGGGGGGGGGAGGGGATGGGGGGAGGTGGGAGGGGGAGGCTGCCGGCAGCCCTGCCTCTTCCCTGCAGTGACCCCCTGCACAGATTCTCTTCAGGCCCCTAGGGTGGCCCTGGCAGATGGCCTGATGAGAGTTAGGGGGGGCCTTCTGCCCAGCCCCTAGTCCAGGCTCATGGCTCCTGAGGGCTGTCCTACCCGGCCCCAGCCTCTCATACCTTCTCAGCTGGTCCTGCCCCATCTGGGCACCTTAGGAGGTCTCTGCCTCCCTGCCCCCACCTGCACCTTCTCCGGCCATTACAGTCCTCCCATCCCCGCCCCCCCTCCAGTCAGAGGAGTGACAGCAGCTGGCTCCGGGGCAGGCAGGGAACCCATCTGGGGGAGAAGGGGCCCAGGGGGCCAGATGATCCCAGGCCTGGGGGGGGGGGAGGGGGCTAGGGTCTTTCCCTGAGAAGCCAACTGATCTAACACACCCGCCCGGCCTCGCCCAGGACCTGTTGTCGCCTTCCAGACCTTTGCAAGCCACAACGGGTTCACACATGGCACAAACATTTATTGAGCTTCTATTATGCGGAGCGGGGCTTCCAGCAGTGAGGAGAGAGCAGGGGGAGGGGAGCAAGGCACGCCATGCCTCAAGCCCCCGGAGGGCGCCTAGCCAAGTCCATGGCCTTCCTGCGCCCTGCGTCCCCGGCAGGGCCCCCGGGCCACGCAGGCTCTCTCTGTGGTCGCCACGGGCTCTGCTCGCCAAGCAGAACACTGAAAAGCAACACTGGGAGGAGAGGGGAGAGGCGACAGGGGAATGTCTCCAAGCCCAAATGCCCTTGGCCTCCTAAGGGCTCAGGAAGGAACGGTCCGGGGGGGGGGGGCCTCCCTGACCCGCCACCCGCGCTGCGCCGCGCTCGCCCAGCCGGGGCGAGGTCCGGAGGAAGGAGGCGCCGGGCCGGCTCGCGGTGACTTCGTTGGGGAGGGGGCCGCACGCTCGGGCTCAGGACGTCGCCGTCTCCCGCTGCCCCGCGGGCCCCGCGCGCCGCCGCCGCCGAGCGTGCCAGCACAGGAGGGCGGCGGCCAGGAGCCCGAGGCCCGCGCCCAGCGCGGCCAGCGCCCCGCCCTGCTCCAGGTCCAGGCGGGGTCCGCGCAGCGAGAAGGTGATGGCTGTGGCGGCGGCGCCGGTCATCAGGGCCACGACGCCGAACGGCAGGAGGCATCGCGGCCAGGAGCCCCCCACGCCGCCGGTGGCCAAAAGCAGCGCTCTCAGGGCCCCGGGAGGGTCGGGGGACGCGAGGGGCTCGGCAGGGGCCGCGGGTGGGGGCTCGGGGGCGCTCATGCCGCCGACGCGGGGCCGCTCTGGGTGGGTGTGGGAGCCCGCGCAGACCCCACTCCCGTCCTCGACCGCCCCGTCAGTGCGGATTGGCCCAGGATGCGGTGACGCCACCGGGGACGCGGAGGAGAGGAGTTCGCTGCCACCTCCTGGCTTGGCGTTGGTTGAATCAGGGTGGGCGGGTGCAGTCTAGAGGGGGCGCCTACCCAGACCTTTGCTCTCACTCTCCCAGATGCTGCAGGGGTCACCTCCCTGCCCAGGTGCGGGCAGCTCTCCACAAAGACATCACCAGGACTGGTCCTGATAGGCGGGTCATCGAGTCCGCAACCTTTGGGCACCCATCTGGGCCTGGCCAGGGATCAAGGTGGACTGCACCCCTGCCCTCATGCAGCAAAGGTCCCCCTCAATCTGAGTCTATTCCTGCTAGCCCTATGAGGTCTTTTCCACACGGCTCTTCTACATATCCGCTGGGTTTCTGAGACTTTCCCTGGTTCCCTCCAAGGGCCACCCTACCCCAAAAGTGGGCCATTCCAACCCACATAATTTGCTGAGGGTCATCTTAATTCCATAGTCTCCCGAAAACCCCTTCTCAAAATTCTCAAGCATAGTTTCAACAACTGTGGGTTTGCTCTGTCCCAACCCCATAATGTCTCCGTGAGGCAGTGTCGCAATTATGTAAACTGGTGGATTATACTGGTTATGGAAACTGATTTTGGGGTGGCTAGTGACAGGGTGGCAGTGGGACTCAGCCTGGAAATGAAGGGTTCCTCAAGATCAGAGGAACTGGGCATGAGCTCTGGAGACAGCGACGGAGTGGCCTGGAGGTCACTGTCCCCAGGCTCCCGGCTTTCCCTTCTCTTTTCCTGCCCTGGGCAGTGCACGTTGCTGTTCCACTCCCTAGAGGGCCCTCAGTAAGAGGAGTGTTTTAGGTTTCCTACTTTGGTCTGTCACCTGGTCCCCAGCAGTCCACAAAACCTGGGATTCCATGGTCAAGATTTCTGCCTGTGGGATTGTGGGGGCTTTTACAAGAAGGTTGTCCTGCGGGGGCGGAGCCGTCTCCAGGCTCCTTCATCACTCGGTCCATCCCCGCACCTGCAACATCTTATCGGCTCTCAGGAGACGGCGCCTTCTCCAGCGGTTACCTGGCTCCCGGGTCTGGGTCCCCCTGGGGCAGAGGCAGGTTTTACTGCCTGTTGCTCATCACTGTCCACACCAAGGGCCAATGCCCCAGCTCTGAGGATTGTGCTGGGTCTGCATAGGTGCTCAGTAAAGGTTTTTTTTTTTTTTTAAATATATATGTTTATTTTGGTGAGACAGGGAAGACGAGCAGGGGAGGTGCTGAGAGGGGGACAGAGGCGCCAAGGAGGGCTCCGCACTGACAGCAGAGAGCCCGATGCTGGGCTTGAACTCACAAACGATGAGATCATGACCTGAACCAAGATGCTCAACTGACTGAGCCACCCAGGCGCCATCAGTAAAGGGTTAAACACTAGGACCCCCCCCCCCCCAACCCGGCCGCACCAGGGTCCAGCACTGTGTAATCTGTCCTTGCCCCAGACCCAGCAGTAATAGCCATTGCTGTCGTGGCGCGGGCTCCTTGGGAGCCTCCCGGGTGCCTCTGAAACCGGCCCCCACGTGCGGAGGGCAGGGGAGACGGAAGAAAGAGGCCACTCCAGCTGGGGGCAGGGTTCGTAAGCAACAGGCCTTACCTACAGGACTCGTTCCGGGCCGCGGCCCTGCACCTGCACCCGCCGCCTGAGCTTAAAGGTTGATGTGGGGAGAGGCCCTACCTGGGCCCAGCTGTGCACCCTGGGCAGGTGTCGAAAGCATCACGTCACTGCCTCAGGGCTGTGTCCCAGGAGCAGCCCCTGGGAGTCACGAGGCAAGTGGAGCCCACATCCCAAGGCCGGGGGAGGGGGCGAGGCGCCTCCCGCTGCCCAGATCCAGCTCACGGGTCAACGGGTGGTCACGTCTCTTCGATTACCTCTCCCAGCAACTAACCCCAGGATGACAGTGAGGACAACACTGGGCCCCTGAGAATCTTGCTAAAAGTCCCACAGCAGCAATCAAGTGTAAGTCCAATCCTATGACGGGTATAAACCCAGAGCCCGTGCCCTTGACCTTGTTGTTTTGCCTTCCACAAAGCAAGGATTCCTTCAGCAGGGGAAGCAGGAATCTTGGCGGAGGGGACAGCGGAGTAGGTGAGGAGCCGGTTCCCTGGTGCCGACTCAGTGTCGGGGGCCCAGCCACTGTGATACAGGCTTGTGGCTTTTGTGTTTTCCACCGGGCCCAGTACAGCCCAGGCGACTGGAGGGAGGGGTTTCAGGTGTGCTGGGCCAATGCTTTCGAGAAGTCCCCAGTCCTGCTCGCTTTCCGTGGCCTTTCCCTCCCTTCGGTGCAGAAGGGAAGGGATGTGCTCAGTGAGTACACTTGACGCGTGCTTGGTGAGCAAAAACACAGAGAAAAAAACACACACCAGGTCCCCTCTTAGTGTGAGTTCAACATACACATTTTCTAAAGGAGCGTTCATGTCACACGAGCGGCTTGTAAGCCTACAGTGAGAAGCAGCAGAGGTAGCTAAGAAAAGCCCCGGCAGGCACCCCTGGTCTCTGAGCCTGCAGAAGGCCAAGGCCAGCCGAGGCCTGACCACTCGCTTTAGCTGCTGTGAGAAGAGCCCTGGGGTCCTCAGGAAGGACCGGGGGGCTGTCCTCAGGGTTCCTAGCGTGGGGACAGCCATCTCTGCATTAAAACTCCCATCAGTCCCTGTTAACTAGTGGGAGGCGGGGGGCACTCTCCCAATAATCTCAGTGTCCGAACGAGGTCACCCTCATGCCAGGCTCCGGAGGCCTGGGAATGGGGCTGGGGGAGGGCGGCCAGCCTCGGGAAAGGTTCAGTCAGCAGGTTCATCTTGAAGGATGGTGAGGAAGCGCTCCCCTCCCTCGCAGAGCAGGCTATGTGCAGCTCGGCAGAGCGCCAGCCAGCGTGGGCCCTGAGGCTCCTGTGTGCTCAACAGGGGGAGGAGCTCCGCCATCAGGACCTGGGGGGTAAGGAAGAGCCAAGGTCTCAGGGGGGCCCTGTCCCAGACAGTTAGCTGGGGGCTTACAGAATGGCCCCCCAGTGAGGCAATTCCAGGGCGGGCTTCAAGCACCATGTTCCCTCCCCCTTCCCCTCCCCAAGCTCTGCCCCTGGGCCAGTGCTGTGTCAGCATGTACACAAGCCCAGAGCTCCACCTTCTCGATGGGCTCACGGCTCCCCTGTCACCCAGGCTCCACGCCCCTACTCCGGAAGTACCTTTTCCAGGTGAATCTGCTGGTCTAGCATGGCCACCCGCAGCCTGAGGGCCTCCAGGGTCTGCAGCTCCTGGGTGCTGGAGTAGAGAAGAAGCTGGCGGCTCCAGAGGGGGTCTGTTCCTCCTCCACAGGGCAGTGAGGCTCCGGGACGTCTCCCCTCAGGCCACGGCCCCAGCTGCTGTCCCACCACCGCTGTGAGGACAAGGGGGTGTGGACTCATGGGCGGCAGCCAGGGACCTCCTTCCCATTAGCCTCTAGGGGGGTGCGGAGTCTCCCTTTGCCTCCTGGACGAAGCCCTGTTACCCGTGAAAAACCAATTCTTATGACACTAGGCAAGTCGGTGGCTGGTATGTCTCTGCTTCTCACGTGTCACCCTTGGTGACTGGAAAAGTAAGCTGTCTGCAGCGCCGGGGCTGAGTCAGGGGAGGCCAGGGGGCAGTTCCGGCTGGCCCTGCGGGACAGTTCAGTGGGGGCCCCGGGAAGGACCTGCCCTGAGTGGCCCTGCTCCTGGGCAGCACTTAATGATGCTGTTTGGCTTGAGGCCGTTGACCGCTGACAAGACTTTAGCGCGTGTTGAGGCGTGGGGGGCGGGGGGGGGTCTCACCTGCACGGAGCTCCTGCAGCCTGTGGAGACACTGCTCTGTGATGGCCTGCAGCCCCTCCAGGGTCAGCAGGCAGCGGTACTCCTGCATGTGGTCAGCAGGCTCTACGCAACAGTCAAGGGAGGGGAGGTGAGGTTCGTGCTAGCCCCGAGCCCTCCCTGGCCCAAGGCACGCAGCAGGGTCCGCTGACCTGCCGAGAGTGCTTCCTCCATCCGCTGTCTCAGCAGCGAGCAGGCCTTGCGCAGGAGCCTCACCTCGGCGTCCACCTCCGCAGCGCTGAGCCCAGAGCCGGGCCCGCCTGACTGATGAGGGTCAGGGAAGCTGCTCGGTGGCCACGTTTCCCCCCTCCCCTCCCACCAAGGACAGGACCCCAGAAAGACTCTGGCCCTTCCTGGAGAGGATCCTTAAACTCACCAGGCTCAGAGCCAGGACCACCCGCTGCCCCCACCCTGGGGGTTCCCACAAGCCCAGGAAGAATACAGTCATCTGCATTTTCTGGAGGAACTGGGTTTTGGCGTTCGTAGCGGCATCCACGGAGTCCCCGGTCTGTGTAGAGCTGAGCTGGGCCCACAGGCTGGGATGTACACGCAGACACCCGGAAACCAGAGAGGGACACAGTTAAGCCATTTAGCTGGGCTAGGTCTCAGGAGGCACGGAGGGGCCCCAGTTAGGGGTGTCTGGCTCTGCTCAAAGCCAGGAGGGGCCTCCAGAGGCCTTGGGAAACGGAGAGGACACTGTCCAGGAAGAGGGGACAGAGCTGATGCGCTCTGGGAAATACCAGGAGAGAGTTCAAGGAAGAAGGGGAGGGGGGCTGGCGGCGACGGGTACCGGGGACTCCCTGGGACGATGAAGAACTCTGGGTGCAGGCACAGCACACACTTGAAAGGCGCAACCTTGTCCAACTCTTCCAGCACCTGTACGAAGCTGGTACTGTCATCCTCAGCCCCACAGCGAAGACGGATGGGGACTCAGGGCCTCTCAGCCTCAAAGCCCAAGGAGTCTAGGGACGTCGACGGGCCTAGCTAGGCAGACCCTCTTATTACAGAAAGTGTCCCCCCCAGCTGACAAAGCAGAGGGGCCTGCTGGAAAAGTCTCATCGACGTGGCCCACATGGTGGGAAGCCTCCGCCTCCCTGCTGTCCACACTTCCCTGGGCGCCCCCCCCCCCCCGCCGGCTGACACTCAGCCTTACCGGGAGTTCCGGGAAGCCGCTTTCCTGTAGGCCATGGGTAGCTGCAGCAGGATGCTGTCAGGGGAGCCAGCACTCAGAGAAGCCACACCCTGGGGGCTGCCCCCGCCCCCCCATGCCCTGAATGGGGTTTCCCGAGTGGCTGTGGGAGCTAGCAGTGTCCACGTCCGCCCTGGCAGAGAGAAGAGAGGCCACCAGGGGCAGAGCCCACACCCTCCAGAGCCCATGTGGAGCCCCTGGGCTGTGTGGATGAGGGGAAGGGTTAGTGCACAGGCCCCAGCGGTGTTGTATTCTGCTTCGGGACGAGGGCACCTTGGGGGCTCCCCTGCCCCGACTGGCTCAATGCCCTGTCCTCCCTGTCACCCCGCATCCCAGACTCCTGCTGCTGGCCAGAGTCTGATCAGATGGAGACAACAGTTCCTCCAGGAGGATTCTGGGAAACCTACCCTTTTTCCTTCAGCGTGAAAGCTTCTGGGACCTGAAGAGCAGCCGATGGGGGTATCTGTTGGTCCCTGAGGCCTGGTTCAGGCTTGGTAGCTCGGGCTCCTCTCCCCATACGGGTGGGATCCCCCACTGACAGAGGCCTGCACTCAGGGAGGCCCCTGGCAGGCGCCACATTCTGCTGGATGGCCTTGGGGGGTTTTGTCTCTGAGACTCGACAGCCAGCCTGGCCTGCGGCCCGGGACGGGGCAGAAGCCACAGTGGACCCAGGCTTCAGGCCGAGGGCCTTGGGTCTTTCTCCAGCCTTAGAGATGCCTTTTCTCACCCGTACAGCCTTCTCCAGTGCCTGCGTCAGAAGCTCCAGCTCCTTGAGGTCTTGAGGGCTGGATGTGCATCCTGCAAAAACCAAAGACCCGTGCAGCAGTCACTCGCCACTGGCTGTCCGGAAAACAGAGCAGGGGCGGCGCCAAGGGAAGGGGGGTGCTGGAAGTTTACCCGCAGACGGGGCCTCTTCACCGGTGTCTGGCCCTGGGGTTGGCTGCGGAGCCGGGGTCTCGGCTGGTTCCCTGCGAAGTCACAGTACAGTCGTGACACGGCCAAGGGGCAGGGCCCAGACGCAACGGAACCCAAGGGGCCGCCTGGCTTCGCAGCAGTCCCCCGGTCCGGAGGGCTCCGAAGGGGGTTCCCAAGACCCGGCGGAGGGCTGGCCGAGTGGTCGCGAGGTCCGCCTACCAGGTCCGGAGCAGCCGGCGGGAGGCTCGCAGGCTCCGCTCCAGCTGCCGCTGTCGCTCGGCGCAGGCGTCCAGGGCGTCCCGCAGCTCGGCCACCAGCCTGGGAGGGGCGCACCGGCGGCTCAGCACCCCGGCGGGCCTGCGCCGCGCTCCCTCCCGCCCCGCTCCCTCCCAGGGCGCGGGTCTCACCGGCGCGAGCAGTCCGCGGGCAGCATGGCGGCGGCGGCGGCGGCTCCTCCGGATTTGCCGCCTCCGGGAAGTCCGGGCCTTTCCGGGCTAGAAGACCGCCCCCTTCCGGCCGGGCTGCCCAGTCCCGAGCCCAGGGCGCAAGCCCCGCCCCCGAGACCCCGCCCTGCGGGGCGGGCAGCCCTTCGGGTTCGGCGCTGGGCCCCGAGGCTGCCGAGGGTCCTCACGTGATGCGCCGTCTTCTGATTTGAATGGCCGTGTAGACGGACGGTGGTACCTGTGATCGCTTACGGTTGACTTTGCCCTTTTGAAGGCGCCCTAAAGCAGGGCCGAGCTCCCTTGCGGGCCCCGGGCCACCCAGCACAGGGCAGCGGACGTGGAGGGGCCCAGTAGTTTACCGGGTAACAGTCACTAAAGGTGAGGATGACGCGTGGAGGAGGAAGTGTTCACTTTCGGACATGCTGGTAATGTAACATTAGGAGGTGGCATCAGGTAGGCACCTGAGCGTAGGCACATGAAAGTCAGAGAGCCGGGACTGTGGCCAGTGAACAACGGGTCTGGGCAAGGTCCAAGGTGGCGCACGTGTGTTTAGGCAGGGACAGGTGAAGGATGGGTGGTGTAAGGGGAGCTAGAATCCAGAGGGGTGGAGGAGTGGAGCTTCAGGCGGCACAGAAGCAAGAAGCTGGGACACCTGGGTGGCTCAGCCGGTTAAGCAAGCGTCCGACTTCAGGTCGTCATGACCTCGCTGTCCGTGAGTTCGAGCCTCGCATCAGGCTCTGTGCTGATGGCTCAGAGCCTGGAGCCTGCTTCAGATTTTGTGTCTCCCTCTCTCTTTGCCCCTCCCTGCTCATGCTCGCTCTGTCTCTCAAAAATAAACGTTAAATAAATTACGAAAAAAAAAACCCTGCGAGAAGCTGTTCCAGAATGGAGGTGCCCCGGTGACTTGGGACAGCTGGGTGTTTGGGGGGGGGGNGGGGGGGGGGGGGGGGGGGGGGGGGGGGGGGGGGGGGGGGGGGGGGGGGGGGGGGGGGGGGGGGGGGGGGGGGGGGGGGGGGGGGGGGGTAGATGCTAGCTGGGAGGGGTGGTGAAGATAGCAGGGCCAATGTAAGTGGAAGTAAGAAGTAGGAAAGCGAGCCCTGCAGAGGCTGAGAAATCTCAGGGAGCTGGAGAGACGACACGCCGGGAGAGGAGGATTGCTTAAAGCTGGAGCGGTACCCCTTTCACAGTTGGAATAGGGAGGTGCTGCAGGAGGGGAGCCGGAAAGGGTGGGAGCCCAGGGCGGGCCTTCCACTGGCAGCGGCCCGTTGCGTGCCTGGTCAGGGGAGGCGGCCAGCGCTCCTGTCAAAGGAGAGTCTCTGCGAGGTAAGAAAGAAGAGTAAAAGGCTCACGTCGGCAGGGGCGGGTGGCATCAGGTCCCGCCGGGGTAGGGGCCTTCTACGGGTGCGGGCTGGGAGAAGGCAGGGAAGTGGGTCCATCCAGGGCTGTGTCTTGACGACAGGCCGTAGACAAGGTGGTACGCAGTCAGACACGCACATCACGAGGCTGCCACTGTCCTTATCACGTTTAATCCTCACAACACCCCTGTGAGGTAGGTACTACTGCCCCAGCTTACACATGAGGAAGCCGAGGCTCACACACGCCCAGGGGCACACAGTCGACAGGAAAGGTCTGCAGTCCCAATGGCAGGGTCCCCGCATTCCAACCATGCCCCACCCAGCGTGGTCAGAATTCTTACAGTAGCAAGAAGACAGCTCCCATGGGGACACACACACGCACGCACACACACACACACACCAAGCACCCAGAAAAGCCACCACCGAGTCAGCTTCCCTGTGTGCCGTAGTTCTGCTTCAGAAGCACTTGGGGGACGCTCCTGGCCCAGTGGTTCCTTTCTGACGTTTTGAGAAAAAACAAAAGCTATCGCTGCAGGGCACGCGTCTCAGTGGCCAACCCCATTGGGATGCGGCCAGGGTCAGGCTCCAGCAGATCCCTCTGGTGCTGTGGCTGCTGCACCCAGGAGGTGGGGGGCTTGGGGAGCCTCAGGTACCACAGCAGACCCACCCTCACCCAACAGGTAGGGACAGGTCCTCTGAATCTCGCTCTTCTGCATCGTGGCATCTCAGAGTTACAAATAACATTTAACTATTTTTTTTGTCCAACGTCTCTGGGAAAATTCTTTTCACCTCAAGAGTGTCAGGATAGCACTGAGGGATCTGAGTCAGATGTTCCTTTTTTTAACTTGAGCCTAAATAAAATTAGGAATCTCTTTTTTAAATTTAATATCTTCTATCTTTAATTTTTCTTTTATTTCCATCTTAGAAAAATGAAGGATGGAAATAAAGACAGGAAAAGAAATGGCCTAGAAATTCAGTGCAGAGAGAGGTATTCATATGGACACCACCCACCGGGGGCAGACAAATCACTCCGGGGGGAAGAGAGGTTTCTCTAAAAGGAGGTGAAAGGATGGCAGGCAGGGAGGTTAGGGCTGACAGCTTCAAGGCCCTGGCCTGAAAAGACTCCGGGCTGCCCAGCTGGTGGTCTCGTGCACGCCCCCCTCAGCAGGGGCCCTGCCACCCGGCGAGGAAGGGAGCCGAGGCGGATGCGAGGACAGGACTGTGGTGTGCGCGCTCAGGCAGGCGGGCTCCGCTCACCGAACCCCTCAGACGCGGGGGTGAGCTGCGCCAGGCCTCCTGCTCGCACGTGTTCTCGGCTGTGAAAGCCGCTGGTTCCCGGGATGCGGCTCAGTGGGGCTGGGGAGAGCGGGCCGGGGGCTCAAGCTCCCCAGAGAGAGGAGGACAGACACGACAGGGGACAGGGACAGGGACTTCACAGGGCGTGGCATGAGTACTTTGAGGCTGAACTTTCCAAAGGGAAGAACTGAGTTTCTGTTCGGACTTGGACGTCCTGACGGCTCGCGCGGGGCTGCTCCGGAGAAGGCCACTTGGTGTCCCGAGTTCTCTCGGTTCCCTGTGTGAGAGCCACTGGGGTGCACGCGGCAGCCGCCTCCGGAGCCCCCAGGCCCCGCGGTGCAGCGGCAGCACGCCCCCAGCAAACGTTCCCCACGGCAGGCGCAGGCACCCACAGCCTCAGCGAGCCGCGCTCAGACCCCTCTCCTCCTCCTCGTGCTTGCTGTGGGCGGACAGACTTTTCCCCTTCACCTGCTGCTGCAGGGTGCTGCTCTCCGGGAGGCCTGGAGAGTGACACTGTAAACATGGCTTCTTGGCATGATGGCGGCAAGGCTGTGTGCCCGAGTCACTGCCCGGGGACGGCACTGAGGTAGGTCGGGAGGGGGGCCCCGAGACACCGTCCACCAAGTCTGTGGGACTCGCGCTGCAGATGGAGGAGTACCCTGAGGTCACGCTGTCCTTGCCCGGCTCCCTCCGGCCGCGGAGCAGAGGCGGGGGCCCGGGGCTCGGAGGCGTCTGGGTACCCGGGGTGTAGGTGTGCACACCCCGGCGTCCACCGTCCTCCAGGCAGGCCTCCTCATCGCTCGATTCCTGGCAGCAGTGCTGTTCTGGGTTTAGATAGACCACGGTGACGTCGAGGATGCCGCTGGGCGCCGTCACTGTGGGAGATGTGGGGTGAGAGGTCAGGCCGCTGTCTGAGCACTGGGTACACCCTGGCCAGTCAGGACCCCCAGGGGCCCGTGTCTGAACCTCGCTGGACAGCCCTCTGTACTGCTGTCTCCTTTGGGTGGGAGATGGAGGATGGCTCTCAATGTGACTTGGGGGACGGTGGGAAGTGACAATAAACTGATCATCTATAATCTACTTAATCCCCAAGTGGACACAAAAGCAAGCAATCGGGGAGACTTGGCAGAAACTGCTAGACCTGGGGTTCTGTGTGTTCAGCTGTCCAATAACACAGGGCCAGAGCCTCCCACAGGTGGCCCTGGAGATCTGTCCAAGGCACAGAGGCCAAAAGGGCAGTGGCTGTCACACGTCACACAATGTTGTAGAAGGATCGTCTTGTGGATTCCAGGCAAGGTGTCTTCCTCGTCCCCTGCCATGGTGAGGTCAACACTGGCCTGGCTGGGGCTGGACACAGGTCATCTCTCCTCCCCAGGGGCTGGGACCCTCTATGCTGTTCTCGGGGCTCTGCCTGCCTGTGTGCGGACGCACTCCTGCGGGTGAGAAGGGGGCCTGGCGTGAGACCCCCGGCCCTGGAGCCCGAGGCACTCACCGTCACCATCCTTCTCGCCTTCGCTCTCCTGGTCGCCCTCGTAGCCAGAGCAGGAGTCCAGGCTCCAGTCCAGGAAGCTGCCCAGCAGCACCTCCTCCTGGCTGGACAGCTCCGCAGTGGGCGTGGTGACGAAGCTGCCCCTGTCCTCCTGGAGGCTGTTCTCCCGCTTCCTGCAAGGGGGGAGAGCCAGGTGCCGGTCACGGTCACGGCCGCGGTGCAGGGTGGGAGGCCCGCCCTGGACAACACAGCTCCCGTGCTGCCTGCCCGCAGGAAGCTCACGGCAAAGGGTCAGAGAGGCGGGGCCGGCAGCACGGTGACGGTGTGCGCGGCTGGACTTCGCAGGACAGACAGGAGTTCCTCGGGCGGGGAAGGTAACTTATCCCAGGTGGTACAGCCAGGACATGGACACGGGGGACACGCACGTACACGCAGGAGACGAAGGTGGAGATGGGGGAGCTGGGGAAGTGCCGAGGACAGTAACCGAACAGCAGCTGCGGGGCTGAGAGTGACAGCAGTGCTGCTGGACAGGGTGGCCGGCACAGGGCTGACGTGTGGCGGGGCCACAGCCTGAACTCCACCCAGCTCAGACCTTCCTGCCTGAACGGGAGCCAGGTCAAAGCTAGAGAGAGGGCTGCCCCGCAGAGAAGACGGAGCGGCAGGCAGGGGGACTCAGGCCGCCGCAGGGGTCACCAGGGAGCCCAGGCCCAGCGCGTGGGAGCTGACGCTGCACGCACCGTTGCAGACGCGGGCCTCACTCACCGCTTGGTCCTCCTTCCCGACGGAGAGCTGAGGAAGGCGTGAATGTCCCCTGCGCTGAGGAAGGCCGTGGGCTCAGGGCTGCCTTGCTTCACACCCAGTGCCGCGCACAGCTGGCCGTAGCTCAGCACCTGAAACGAGGCCAGGGTTAGACGGGTGGGGCCCCAGGGGTGGGTGTTGGGGGGGGGGGAGTGGGGACAGGGGCACCTCTTCCTGGCTGATCTCTTCGTAGCGCTTGTCCTCGAATCGCTGCTTCACGGCGGTCAGAGAGACTTGCCTGTAGTCCTTGGGGGCGTCGTCGTGGAAGCTGCCAACAGAGGGGCGCATGCGGGTCAGTGGGCCCGTGCAGGGCTCTGGGGCCGGCAGTGTCGCGTGACCGGAAGGCAGATGGCCACCCAACAGTTCCACAAACAGGTGAGTGTGCGGTCACTCATGACCCAGCAATTCTGCTCCCAGTGGTGTTATTCACAGCAGCAAAAAAGGTGGAGACGCCCCCCATGTGGTCATCCACGCAGCAGAACGTGATTCTAGAGGAACCATGCAGGTGACAGGTGGGCCACGTGATGTAGAACTTCGTTTCTGGGAAATGTCTGAAACGTGTGGAACAGGCAAATCCACAGAGACAGAAGCAGAGGAGGGGCTGCGGGGGGTGGGCAGCGCGGGCCGAGTGCAGGGTTTCTCTGGAGGAGGGTGCAACGTTCTAAAATTGACACAGTGATGGTCACACAGCTCTGAACGTGCGCTGCATGGTTAAAAAGGCTTAGCTTGTAAATAAATGTTCCCAATGTATCTGGTTTGGTACTCAAAAACGTTGGGGGGAGGCAGGGGAGTAGCCTAGCAACAACTTTAGGGAGCCAGTATCAGGTCAGGATGGTTTGCAGCCCTACTGTGAGCGGCAGCGGGGTCAGACACACGCACGCTGCCTCTTCGACCTTCACCTGTGCTCCCCGCCCATCAGCTAGGAGCCGGCACGAGGGAAGCCGGGGAAGAACACGCCAGCCCCAGGAGACGCTGACAGGCTCCCCGCGGCTGGAGCTCGGGTGCAGGGACCAGAAGTGAATGCAACCTATGAGGGAGCAGCAGCCAGAGAGGAAAGGCGGTCCGGCCCGGACGAGGCGGCGGGGCATCTGGGGCTCAAGTCAGAGGTTGGGGTCTAGAGGTTTTGAATCCCGAAGGTGTCTGAGGACAGACAGAAAGCAGGAGCGCCCCGGCCCCGCATGCGAGCAGGAGGGCAGCGAGCACGGCCTGGCAGAGGGAGGAGGACGTTGCCTTGGGTTTGGGGAGACAAGCACGTGCCAGAAGTGGGAACAGCGCGGACAGGGAGCAGGGCCGAGGCATGGGGCCATCACGGCTGGCCAACTCCTGAGCAAGAGACACCGTGTCCCACGCTAACGTGGTCAGGGCGCAGGTGGCTGGCCTGACGGCCCCTGTGGAGGGAGGCTCTGGCTGAGAGGAGTTGCCGCACGCGTTTGAAGTGTTATCACTGTGGCCATAGGCAACATGGCTGGCCTGACCCTCTGAAATGTCAACTCTGAGACAGGCAACACACTGCGGGAAGCTGTGTGTGTCCCTCACATGAGGGCCAATTCCCCCTTGATCCCTGACGATAAACCCTCTGTGGCAGATGCCTGGCGGACTCATTTCCTTTCATGGACACTGCTTTAAAAAAAAAAATTTTTTTTTTATTTTTTAAAAATTAAGTAGGCTCCACACATAACGTGGGGCCTGAACTCACAAGCCCGAGTCGTGTGCTCTACTGACGGAGCCAGCCGGGTGCCCAGACTCACCACTTCTGATGAAGGCTCAGGACACAGGGTATGAGGTCTTCACAGGAGAAGCCAGTGACGTCCCACAACCTCGTGGACCAGGGCTGCGCTGGAGAGGAGGGCAGGAATGGGGGGGCGCTCTGATGCCCACTCGTGCCCCACCGCCCAAGTGGTTCTGTGTGGGGTTTTCTGGAGCTCAGCGTTAAAAACGCCTGCACGCTCGCTGTCAACAGTGTGGGAAATACTTAGGCCAGAACCATCTCTTAACCGCACCCCACCGAACAGCTTTAGTCCACTCTGGCATTTCCTTTTCCAGGAAAGATGACCAATCCCTCCCTCTCCCTTGTATGTGAGACTCATCTCCGGCCTTCGGGACCCCCCAGTCCCTGGCGTGGCCCCTGCTGAGCAGCGGGCGGGAGGGCGGGCTCCTTACTCTGTCCATGGGTCAGCCGCGCGAGCAGCAGGGCGGCCGCGGCCAGACGGGCTGGAGTGTAGGCGGCCAGGCTGGTGTGCAGCAGGGACAGCTCACACAGGAAGCCGCACAGGTGTTGGGTTCTTGGGGCCGCAGGGACCAGCGTCAGCAGGACGTCCTTGTAATCCACCACAGTGGGGACCTGAGGAGACGGGGAGGTGGACGTGGTGTCTTGGCGCGCAGGCACGGCTTGCCCCACCAGCGTTCACACTGGCCTCCTGCCCTCTGGGTCCTAGAGGACCTTCCAGAGCAGGAAACCTCAATGCCATGGAGGAGCCCTTGGTTCCTCCTGTCCCCTCCTGTGACTTCCACTCTGATTTAAAAGGAAAAAGCAAATGGCCACTTACTCGAATCTTCCCTTCCAGGGCGGAGATGATCTCTCCCATCATCCTCACCAGGTCCTCATACTTGTACGTGTTGTCCGTGAGCCACACTGCCTCTCGGATTGTCAGGATCTCTTTGCTGATGAACCTAGAATGTCAGGAAGGGGTCTGAGCATGGAGTCCACTATACTTGGAGGCAGCGGTCACACGAGGCCCCAGTGACAGAGGGGTCAGAGCGAGAGGACCTGAAGAGGTCGTGTGGCCTGGCCTAAGGGTCTGTGGAGGAGGAGGGATGAGGGCTGGGGAATGGGAGTGGCCGGGCTGCCAGACATGCGGGTGTTTCTATAAAAGGCACCCCAAATGAATGATGTGCCCGGTCGATCTTCTTAATGGCCTGAGGATTATAGCAGCTTCTACAGAGCGAGCATAAACAAGAGCTTAAACCCAGAAGGCGGGTGAGGTGGGGGTTGTCTGAAGGTCCGTGCTCAGCACGGGGTCTGGCTGCAGGAATCCTGGGTGACCCTAGGCAGCCCGCCAGCCTATTCTCTCCAACAGCGCCAGCGAGCAGGGGGCACGCGGGTCCAGGGGCCTCCCGCCAAAGGAGCAGGGCCCAGCCCATGGCTGCTCTGTCCTGGGGCCACTGCAGCCGGCCCACTCGCTGTCAGCTTAACTGAGCAAGAGGATGGGAGACGTGGGGATGGCAGGTGTGCGAAGCATGAGGCCGGAGCGGGGCAGGTGGGGCGCTCAGGCAGAGGCCAAGGCAGGACTGCCTTGAGCAGGGGTGGGGCATCTCCTCCAGGATCTTTTGAAAGAACACTTGGCTGCTGGCCCATCGGTGGTCTGGGATTTTGGTCTCTGGTTGCAAAGATATAATGATGCTGCTCAGACACGAGAAGGCAGGGCCTCTCTGTTCAGCCACCTCTGGTGAGGTCTGGATGCGGGGGCCCCATGAGCATGCCAGAGGGGCCGGTGGCATGCGGCAGCCTGCTCGCGGCCCCAAGGCCGTGCTGGTAGCCTGCAGACCACGACTCCAGTTCTCGTCACGGCCACATGACCAGGCTTGCTGCACAGTGGTCGTGGTGGCCTCGGGGGCTGCGGAGGATGGTTGAGAGTAGGATGGGACCTGGGGCTTTCCGTGACCCTGTGACACAGGAAAACTACCCTAATGGCATCAGCCTGGACCCCTTGTCTCTGGGTAACTAAGCAAGAGAAGTCGGCATCTCTTGAGTTCACACCACCGTGTATGGCCACCTGTTCTCACGCCCCAAGGCCTATGGGCCGGGACACTCAGTCTGTAGAGCCCTGCCCAGGGGCAATGGCAGCCACACAGGGATGTCTGGTTTAGCGAAACAAGGACACGTAAGATGTGTGGTGCAATCACGGTCCACGTTGCTTCCAAAGGTAAAGGTGGGCTGACAGGTGCCGGCTAAGGGACAGCATGTGCAGGTAAAACGGAAGACAGGTCCATCTGAAGTCAGAGCTGCCAGGAGCGCAGGCAGCTGTGTAAGAAGGAGGTGCCTGTCTGCGTGGTTGGAATGGGCTCGTCTGGGTTGGCTGGGGGCGTGACACCCACCAGCTGCACGTCTCTGGCGACACAGGCTTGAGAACTGGACCACGGGGAAGCCAGCTGTCCCTGACCTCAGGACCCCAGGGGCAGCCCACCGGGCCCCTCCCTCGGTGTCACGGAATCCTCTGGAGCCAGGGGAGGAGGGGCCCAGCACGAACCTGCCTGAGTGAGGCCCCGTTCTGGGCTCCCACTCGCCACAGGGCAGGTCTGCCCTACTCTGCGTCGGTGATCCCTGAACTTAAGACCTCATCTAACAAGGTGGGACGCTGAAGGGCCAGCCCAGTGGTGTCATCCCGCGGGCCCTGCCCCGGGGGCCCCGTACCGGGTGCAGATGACCATGCAGGCGATGCCCAGCAGCTGGAGCCTGTAGCGGGGCACGAGCCTCCTCCGCAGGTACCGGTCCACGCACTCCACAGTCAGATGCAGGCACAGGCTCGTGAAGTCCTTCATGGTGGCGACCTCCACCAGCCAGTCAATCAGGATGTACCTGCAGGGAGAGCACCAGCGCTGGAAACCCAGGTGTGCATTTGCGAGCGTCCCGTGCTCACCTGGCCTGTCTGTCCCAAGGGAGCCAGCAAGTCATCCACAGCACCGTCCATTTACCCAGGAACTTGTCCCGGCCTTGGGTGGAGGACAGGCCCCAGGTCTCCTGACTATGTGCCTGGGAGGAAGTTGGGCTCACACATCTGTGTACCCTGCCTTCTCCCATGGGGACTGCCAGGTACCAGGTGAGTCCAGACACAGGTCAGGGGCAAGGTGGGTCCACCCACTAGGGTGGGGACAGATCATAGGTCCCAGGACCAGAGAAAAGTCGCTTGAAGGTGGCAAGACCTGTGGCCCTCCTGAAAACCCATGTTCTCCGCGAGGAGCAGCTCACCCATGGGGTCATTTCTCCCAGCCCTCTACTGCGGGGAAAGAGCTGGAAAGAAGCTAAGGGGGGGAGGATGCATGGAGCCTGGCACAGCTTCTCAGGCACCGAGCAACTCTGATGGAGCTGCAGATGTGGGGTCCCTCCTCGAGAGGCTGAACCCAGGGCCAGGGACACAGACATCACGTGGGAGCGCTGGTGGCCTGGCAAGGATACCCCGTACAGTAAACGCCTTTCTGAACAAAGGACAGGCAACTCCGGTGTCTAAGCAGAGGAGACAGAGAGAGCAGAAGTGAGAGAGGGAAGGAAGATGAAGCTGCGGGGTTCTGGGCAAATGTTCCGGGTGCCAGGCAGGGCAGATGCACTTGGTCGTAGGCAGAGGGGAGGAGGGGAGGGTGGGGCTGAGGTGGTGGAACAGAATGGGGAGGAAGACGAGAGCCTATGTTTCCTCCGGGAAGAGGAAGGCCGCTTGAGCACCAGGTATTTGGGGCTTAGACTGGCCACTCTGGGAACAGAGAGGAAGATGCCAGATCCAGACTTAGTGACCGTTAACGATCTGAGTCATGAAAACAGCCCAGGCAAATTGTACACTGTAGAATGGCTAGATCTGGGGCGCCTGGGCGGCTCAGTCCATTGGGCGTCCAACTCTTAATTCCAGCTCAGGTCACAGTCTCAAGGTTGGTTGGGATGGAATCCAGTGTGGAGTTCTGTGCTGACAGCACGGAGTCTGCTTGGGATTCTCTCTCCCTCTCTCTCTGTCCACATGTGCACACTCTCTCAAAGTAAACAATACTAATAAGAAATAACTAAAATGGCTAAATCTGAAATAAACACAATGTTACACGTAAATTATACCTATTTAAAAACAAAAGTAGGGTAGGGGCGCCTGGGTGGCTTAGTCGGTTAAGCGTCCGACTTTCGCTTAGGTCATGATCTCACGGTTTGTGGGTTCGAGCCCCGCGTTGGGCTCTGTGCTGACTGCCAGCTCAGAGCCTGGAGCCTGTTTCAGAGTCTGTGACTCCCTCTCTCTCTGACCCTCCCCTGCTCACGCGGTCTCTCTCTCTCTCCTTGAAATAAATAAAAAACATTTAAAAAAAAAAAAGAAGAAGAAAAAAAACAACAACAAAAGTCGGGGTACCTGGGTGGCTCAGTCAGTTAAGTGTCCGAGTTTAGCTCAGGTTGTGACCTCACGGTTTGTGGGTTCAAGCCCCGCATCGGGATCTGTGTTGACAGCTTGGAGGCTGGAACCCGCTTCAGATTCTGTCTCCCTCTCTCTCTCTGCCCTCCCCTGCTCACACTCTGTCTCAAATATAAATAAATGTTTAAAAATAAATAAAAACAAAGGTGGCTGTTGCTTGGTACAAAGGAAAATAAAAAGTTCAACTCAAACACTGAAATGATACTAATATTTCAATAAAAATATATATATTAGTTCTTGAAAAGGAAAAAATATCTCCCCCTCCCCGAAACATAAAAGCAGTACCCCCGAGAAAAGGCCGACTGAGCGGGGAATGCAGTGCTCCTCTGCACACACCTAACAGAAGGAGAGGCAGCTGGGAAAGAAGGGTGTTGTTGCCGGCGCCAGCACAGGGTTCAAGAGCACGAGAACCTGAGGGTATTTGAAAAATAATTTTTTTACCATTTATTTATTTATGAGAGAAAGAGACAGAGCATGAGCAGGGAAGGGGCAGAGAGAGAGGGAGACGTAGGATCTGAAGCAGGCTCCAGGCTCTGAGCTGTCAGCACAGAGCCTGATGTGGGGCTTGAACCCACAGACCACGAGATCATGACCTGAGCCAAAGTCGGATGCTTAACTGACTGAGCCACCCCAGGTGCCCTGAGCCCAATGATATTTGATGCGGGAGCAAAGGACAACGCGTCCCTGCACTGTGTGCATGAGATCAAGCTTCTCCAGCAAGGCCTGATCCTTTTATGATTTTATTTTATTTTTCTGAAGTTCATTCATTTATTTTGAGAGAGACAGAAGCAGTGTCAGTGGGGGAGGAACACAGAGAGAGGGAAAGAATTCCAAGCAGGCTCCACACTGACAGCACAGAGCCCAACGCAGGGCTCAAACCCATGAACTGTGAGATCATGCCCTGAGCTGAAACTAAGAGTCTAACCCTTACCTGACTGAGCGCCCCAGGTGCCCCAAGGCCTGGTCCTTTTATTTTTTTTTTATTTTATTTTTTTTAAATATTTTATTTATTTCTAGGAGAGAGAGAGAGCGTGAGCAGGGGAGGGTCAGAGAGAGAGGGAGTCACAGACTGAAACAGGCTCCAGGCTCTGAGCTGGCAGTCAGCACAGAGCCCGACGCGGGGCTCGAACCCACAAACCGCGAGATCATGACCTAAGCGAAAGTCGGACGCTTAACCGACTAAGCCACCCAGGCGCCCCAAAACAAATCAATTTAAATATGAATGTCCCCTGTGCATTCTCTATGAGCTGGGCATTGTCTGCTGGAGTATAGCCAGAGCCTGCTCGTTATAAATCCAAAATGTATTTGAAATCTTGTGTGAGCTTAAAAAATTATCTGCATTTTCCACTTTACTTTCTAGCATATTCTGTATCTGAATGAAAAAGCTCAGGAGTGAGTGGGGTGCAGGAAGAGGCAGGGAGCGGAGGCTGGACACTGCCTCAGAGGATACGCTCGATGGCCACGGATCCTCCCATGTCACACCAGTGCTCACGTAAGGTGGCTCTTTGGCTCCTGAAACTGGGGATACGAATCCCATCACTTTATTTATTTTTTTTTAATGTTTTCTTTTTTTTTTTTTTTATTTCTAGGAGAGAGAGAGACAGCATGAGCAGGGGGAGGGTCAGAGAGAGAGGGAGTCACAGACTCTGAAACAGGCTCCAGGCTCTGAGCTGGCAGTCAGCACAGAGCCCGATGCGGGGCTCAAACCCACGAACTGCGAGATCATGACCCAAGCGAAAGTCGGACGCTTAACCGACTAAGCCACCCAGGCGCCCCGAATCCCATCACTTTAGAAAGACTTTAGAAACTAAACATGGCTTTGCACAGTATGACGCTCACAAAGAACGCTGGAGCACACACATTCCCGGAGACATGTGCTCTTCAAAGCCCTGGATAACTAAGGCGCGGCTGGTGTTAGAAAACCACACACACACACACACAATGGGGGTTCTGGGGGGGGTCGCGGCTGGTGTTAGAAAACCACACACACACACACACACACACACACACAATGGGGGTTCTGGGGGGGTCAACCACACAGGGGGCCCGGTGAACACAACAGACGGCCCCCCTCTCCCAGGCACCCGGCAGTCACTCTGCCCCCCACTCCAAGCAGACACTCTCCCTAGGGGTCCTCACCTCATCGTGTCGCTGAGTCCCTTCTGCACGGAGAAGACCCGCTGCTTGCTGATGGCGCGGGAGGCCTGGAAGAGCTGGCGCACGATTCCGTCGGAGACCTTCCCTTCCAGCCCCAGCTGGCTCCCATTCGCGCAGGCTTTGGCCAACGACAGCTGCGGGACAGACACGCGCGTGAGCACGAGCCCGCGGGGGGAGATGTGTGGCTGCGCAGCAGTGCTTACACCTTCTCGGCCCCCCCCAGAAGCAGCACGGCCCAGGTCTTGACTATTCTTTCAGAAATAAATGATATATAGTGTGATAGCATGCCTTAAAGAGAACAAAACGTGCACAATGGAGTCAGCACAGCGCAGTAGCCAAAGATGTTTGGAAGCTCAGTGACCTGGGTTTCATGTGTTTTTTGTTTTGTTTCTCAAGTTTATTTATTTTGACAGAGACAGAGAGAGAGAGAGAGAGAGAGAGAGAGAGAGAGAGAGCGCGCGCGCGCGAGCATGAGCACATGCAGGGGAGGGGCAGAGAAAATCCTAAGCAGGCTCCACCCCGTTAGCACAGAGCCCAATGCAGGCTTCGATCTCATTAACTGTGAGATCATGACCTGAGCGGAAATCAAGAGTTAGATGCTTAACCGACTTAGCTACCCAGATGCCCTTCAGATGACCTGGCTTTAAAACCTGGGTTTGTGTGACATCACAGGCAAAGCAGGGAAAATGCTCTGTGCCTCAGTTTCCCTTCTCATGAAGGGCCTAATGGCACCTGCTTAGGGAGACGGTTGTGTGGGTTAACTGAGTGGTGATGACCACGGTGCACATGCCCACTGACATCCCCTAGGCCCCCGAGACTAACTAGCAGCCATTTCTAGATGCTTTCCTTCCAGATGTTTCTACACATTTGTAACTGTGTGCATTCCGGACCAGAGCACATGCACATTTATCCCCTGTGCTCCCCTAATAACAACAAGCTCCTCACAACACAAAACACCTGGAAGCATGTTCACGTTTCGTGTGTCTTCCTGGCGCGTGTTCACTACTTTGTGCAGCAGCTCTGGGCAGCTGTCAGCGCACACGCCTGCCTGTGCAGGGCGGCTGTGGGAAGTCTCTTGCTTCTCCTGCCCCAGGATTTCCTGAAAGGGCTGCACCAACTTCAGGCCAGCTAAGAGAACGTTGTTCTAGCACATCTCTGCTAGCAGAAACTGCTGTCGTTAAAAATGTGTACTTTCAGAAGTTAATCCCTACACACTCAACATGCACAGAAAAAAAGATACAGGTACACCTATCATTTGCTAATGTGAGCAGCCACAATCTCGTTTAACTGCCCTGGGTTTTGACCAGCTGTTTCTTTTTTTGAGAGAGAAAGAGAGAGAGAGAGAGAGAGCGCGCGAGAGCACGCGCGCGCACAAGTGAGTGAGCGGCAGAGAGAAAGGGAGAGAGAGAGAATCCCAAGCAGGCTCCACATTGTCAGCACAGAGCCTGATGCGGGGCTCATATTCACGAACCATGAGATCATGACCTGAGCTGAAGTCAGATGCTTAATGGACTGAGCCGCTCAGGTGCCCCTGACCAGCTGTCTATATTTCCTCTTTTCTGGGATTGTATGGAAACCCTTTGAACATTTACTGGAATATTACTGATTAGTTTGAGCTTCTAAGAAAGCCACACGATTCACTGTCGTATTTACTATCAATCTGTGATCTGCGTCCGACGTAACCATTACAGTGCTCTGTCGCACGTCAGGCTGGGCCATCTACCACTCTGTGATCTCTTCCCTCTAGCTTTTAAGGGCAGATGGTTCTCAAACGTTGACTTGGGGGGTGACGAGAGTTTGAGTTTCTACCTGCTTGGCAAGGGGCTTTCTCTGATTTGTCCAAAACAACAATTCTTTATAGCCGCACTGGGAGAGTACCTGGGGGACACCAACTGCAAGTCCCCCATGTCCTGGTTCTAACGCTAGATGACACGGTGAGCAGGTCAAGCGACAAGAACAGGAGATCTTCCACACACCCATCTGCTCCAAAGAGACCCCCACCTGTCACCACAGTGCTGTCCCTACTGGACTTAGGGAGAGACAGGAATGCTAACAGCAGACACAGTGGCCCACACTTAAGAACGAAGGGGCTGGAGGTGCCTGGGTGGCTGAGTCGGTTAAACATCCGACTTCGGCTCAGGTCATGATCTCACGGTTCGTGGGTTCGAGCCCCACGTCGGGCTCTGTGCTGACAGCTCAGAGCCTGGAGCCTGTTTCCGATTCTGTGTCTCCCTCTCTCTCTGACCCTCCCCTGCTCATGCTCTCTCTCAGAAATAAATTTAAAAAAATTAAAAAAAAAAAAAAAAAAAGAATGAAGGGCTGGATGGCCGGCTTAGGGGCAGTGGGCTTGGAGGTGACAGGTGACAGGTGGAGACAAAGGAAACACTTCCAGGCTTTCCTCCCCGTGCTCCCCAGAGCCAAAGTCTCGTAAGATCTGGTGCCAGCGCTCGGCCAGTCTTCCTGCCTACATACGAGAGCCCGGCAGTCTTGTTTCCGTGGTCCCCATGGGAGGAGGCGTAAGACAGACCAGCTCCTGCCTCACCTGTGCTTCCCAGCATCCTTTGGCAGCGTAGTCCCTGAGTTTCCGGAAGCTGTGGAGGCATCGTCCAGGATCTGACATCTGTCAACGGGAGAAAATCACCCTGATTCTAGACAGCTGTCTCTCTGGAGAAACCAGAAGCAACCCACGGGGTTCTTACACATTCCTCCCGACACCCCAGGGGCCCACGGCTTTCTGTCCAGCCCCTCATCCCCCAAGGGACCGTGGTTGCTGGGGGCAGGCGTGGGAGCAGCCCGCCCACCTGTGGCTCCTGGCACCCTGGAAGCTGCCCCGTCAGCTGCCCCGACCACCCCTTCCCCCCACCCTGCCCCCCCCAGCCCCAGGGCCACTCACGTCTGTCTTCCTGTCACGTTCCCACAGGAGGTACGAGCTGGCCAGACAGCCCTGGCTAGCAGACTCCTCAAACAGGTCCCGGGCCTCCTGCTTGCGCTCTTCATCCTGGAGCAAACCCAAGCACAGCGCGCTCTCCTCTCACCCCTCTTCTGTGGACTCTGCCAGCTCGCCACCTCTCAGGAACCACCCCCCGTGGCTCCTACTTTTAATAAAGTCAGTTAACTAAATCGGGGTAGCCAACCGCACGGGAGAGGAGCCTCCGGGCTCCGCCCCACAGGCCCCGCTTCCTCCCAGACGACATGTGCATCTGGCTGGGCCCTGGACGGTGAGCCCTGTGCACCAGGCCTCCCAGATGGGGATGGGGGGTGGGGGCTCCTCAGGGCTGCTCCCATCCTCGCTCACTGTCAGCGTCCCTCCCGCTCTAACAGAAAGCTTGCTCAAGCGTAGAGAGAGAGGTCTGCGGGAAGAGTGGGAGAGGCTGCTGTGGTCCACACGCAGATGCTCTGCCCATAGGTGCGGCTTGCTCAGGGTTCACACGGGCACGATCTCTCCAGGGCCCACGCCCCTCAGCTCAGTGTGCTCCCCGGGGCCAGGGGCACGCCGCACAGCAACAGGCTCCCTGCGGGATGGCCCACTCGACTCACCTCGAAGAGACTCAGTACTCTCCCCAAACAGTGCAGTATGGATGCTCGGTGAGTCTGAGAGACAAGAGGAGGGAGGTGTGATCACCAGCCAAAAGGGACTTCCCCGCCGGCCACCATTCTCGTGGCCCCTGCCTGGTCCCCTCGCCACACCCAGGACCGCTCCCTGATTCTGGGCCTCCAGGAGCCTCGGTCTTGGGTTTCCAGCCCAGCCCCTCCCATGACTCCCTGGGAGCACCAGCTCTGAGGTTTCCTCTCCTGCTGCCTCAAGTGCAGGCACCCTCCTGCCCACACTCTCAATTTTCTGCAGCTCCACTGTCGTCCATGAAAACAGGCGTCCGGACTGTGTAAACAGGCGTCCGTTTACACGGTCCAGCATCTCCACTCACCCTGTGCAGCTCAGATCGCCCAGAATGCGGGCCCCATGTGTGCTCCTTGCCGGGGCTCAGTCCCCGCAGCTGGCACTCTGCCCTGAGGCTCTCATGAACCACGGCCTTGCAGCAGCTTCCGGACACCGACCACGGAGGGCGGATGAAGAGCCAGATGAAGGGCGTGCTGCCTGCATTCAGGCGCTCGGCAAGACTGAAGAAGCGAGAAGCCTTCAGGCCATTCACTTCCGCACGGGCTTCATCAGACACAGACACTGCGGAGACGGACAGGGTGTTAACCCAGAGATGTCTCTGGAGTGCAGGCGTACAGAGATCTCCAGGGTCTTTCCCGAAAGTCTAAAAGCTCATGCCAGCTGCTGGTGCGTAAGGAGAACAGAGCCTTTCCTCCTCTATGCGGCGTCACCTGCCCCTGCTGGGTCCTCCCGGCAGCCTGGGTTGTGAAGGTCTGGGAAGATGCCTCCCACAGAGGTGTCGCATGCCTGCCCGCCCTCTCTCCTTCTGGGAGCTGCAGCCAGAACTTCAGCTAACGGGTATGGTTAGGGTACATTTTAGGGTGATGCTCCAAATTTGGATGTTGGTGATGGCTGCACGACTCTGCGAATACACCAAAACCCACCAGACTAGACTTGAGATGGGGGAGCTGTATGGTATGTGAATTAGGTCTGGGAGCCGGGGGGGGGGGGGGGGAGGAGCAGGACCGCTGCCCTCCGGGGCCGGGAGCAGGGCTGCCCGGTTGTCTCTATCAGTCACAACCTGTCAGCCAGCTATATACGGGGACTACCTCTCAGCAAGATGCCAGGTTTCTGAGATGCAGAAACACAGCAGCTACCCCAAATCTCTATGCATTTTGGGAGCTGAGGGCCACACAGGTTCTCTCAAGGAGCACCTGCTCCGTGGGGGTGAAGGAGTTTGGGCACCAGGCCGGCTCTGATCTGCTTGTGCCGGCCTCCCACTGGAGCCCTGGCTACCGTGTCACTGATGCCCCGTAGCATTAGGCACGCTTTGACTCCCCCCAAGTCCCACGGGGGAACCGTGGCCAAGGAGAGGAGCCAGTATCTACCTGTGGGCAGCGGTGTTAATGGGACGGCGCGGGGGCTGCTGGGGTGAGGGGAGGGCCGGCTTGCTGGCGTAGCCCCCATTCCGAGTCGCTGCTGACTGGAACTAAAGCATTTGTTAAAACAAGGTTTGTTAAAATAATTAAAGCGCAAGGAATCAAAGTTCCTCAGTGGGCCCCAGAGCAGGGCGTCCCTGGGCGCAAGCCCCCGAGAGGGAAAGGCAAGGCACACTGCCAGAGGTGGGAAGAATGACGATGGAATGCAGGCCCTGGGAAGGGCTTGCACTTATCCTAAAACATCCACGCTGGGGCGCCTGGGCGGCTCAGCTGGCTAAGTGACTGGCTTGGGTTCAGGTCATGATCGCCAAGTTTGTGAGTTTGAGTCTCCCATTGGGCTCTGTCCTGACAGTGTGGAGCCTGCTTGGGATTCTCTCTCTCTGCCTCTCTCTCTCTCTGCTCCTCCCTCATGCTCTCTGTCTCAAAATCAATAAATAAACTTAAAAAATGAATAAAATATCAATGCCAAGTAGGGCAAGGCCAGTTCTGGCCCTGTGAGGACTTACGGCCTTCGTTGTAGAGGTAGGCTATGCCCAGCTTCACAGCGGCTTCAAAATTTCCCTTTTCGGCAGCCCTAAACCATTGAAAACATAAAACGTCACCTGCTTTTATACCTTACAGCTTATGCCCTACCACAGCACTTGAAGCTAGAACACTTGCGGGGGGGCACCTGGGTGACTCAGTCAGTCGAGCCTCTGACCTCGACTCAGGTCATAACCTTGGTTTTGTGAGTTCAAGCTCTGCATGGGTCTCTGTGCTGACAGCTCATAGCCTGGAGCCTGCTTCAGATTCTGTGTCTCCCCCTCTCTCTGCCCCTCTCCCACTCCCACTCCATCTCTCTAAAAAATAACCATTAAAAAAAAAAAAAGAAGCTGGAATACTTGGTTTTTAACTGAGAATTTTTTAGGTAATGCAGTCACATAAATGTCAATTATCCACATTAGGCTATGACCCGGATAGACCTTAAAAACATGCTACACAAAAGACGTCAGCCACAGCAGGCCACGGGCTGTATGACTTCATTTATACGAACTGTCCGCAACAGGCAAATCCATACCCAAGAAGGCATATCAGGGGTCGCCAGAGGCTGGGGGACTGTAGGGAAAATGGAGTCACCACCAACATCAACCCCTGTTCATTTTGTCTTCACTTTGGGGTAATGAGAACGTGAAGTTGGTGGTGACGGCCACACAACTCTGTGACTATCTGAAAAGCCACCGCGTTGCACACCTCAAATGGATGAACCATACAGTACGTGGCTTATGTCTCTGGCGGCCTGACCAGCGCCACTGGCACGCTGAGGCCCACAGGTCGAGGGACTCACACCTCCTCTGCCCTCCCTCTGGAACCCAACTCCAGCAGGACGATGGCATCAGCCAGGGAGTGAAATGCAATAGGAGTTAAACCACACAGCTGTGATTTGGAAAAAAAAAAAGAGTGACGTTGCCACATGCAGGTGATCTGCAGCTGAGTCACGCAGACTGGTCCCGGCCCAAGTGAGACCCTTCAGAAGCACGGCAGGAACTAATGAGTCAGGCTGTGCTGGTGGCACAGATGGCCAATGACTATGCTGCGCGTGACTCGACGGGGGGTGGCTGACAGGCCTCAGTCTCTCCCTGGGGGGGCGAGGCGCCGGCGAGGGTGCCAGCAAGAGGGAAACCGTTCCCACGTCAGGCCCTGGGACACAGGCTGGCATATCAGGGCGGCTCAAAGACAGGAAAAGCGAGCTGTTCTCAGGGTGCAAAGATACCTTTCAAAGAGCTTTAGGTTCTTTGGAGAAGGCCACAGCTCCTGGAAGCTGGCACACGCCCACACGCTGGCGTGGCTGTCCACCAGGCTCTTCAGGTGGGAGTGCACCTGCAAACAACGGGAGTGGGTAGGGGGCTGATCGGGCATCCTCCCCGAGGCCCGGCTCCTGGAGCTCTTGAGGAAAGGACACAGAAGATGGGGGTCCCTCCCCACCCCCAAGGTAAAGGTCCTCTCTTTGAGTAGAAGAAACAAGTTTCTCTGTGGCTGTAAAGGGGGATGGGGGGACAGTGGTACTGGAAGGGGGAATAAGTACGAACACTAAGAAAGAAGAGGTGACACCCTGTAAGGGTGTGTATCAGCAAGGATCAGGGAAACAAGGCTAACAGGAGAAAGGGAAACAGACATTTCTTCTGTGCTCCTCTGCCTAGGGCTTGGCTAATGGAAACACGGCCAGAGCCTGGAGGTCAACAGAGGCTCCAGGAAAAGACCAATAGGGTCGCCTGAGTGGCGAAGTCGGTTGAGGGTCCAACTCTTCTTATCGGCTCAGGTGGTGATACCCGGCTTGTGGGTGGGAGCCCTGCAGAGGCTCTGTGCTGAGTGTGGGCCCTGCTTGCAATTCTCTTTCTGCCCCTCCCCCAGGCGAGTGCTTGCACGCTCTCCCCCTTTCTTTCAGAATAAACGTTAAAAAAAATATTAAAACTTAAATACCACCCTGGGCAGAGGCAGGAAGCAGGCCGTCTGGGAGCCCTGAACACGGGTGGGTATTTCAGGCATTAAAGTTCCCAGTGCCGTTGAAAACTCAGCACCCGAGGATATTATGACCACAATGGAGGTGGCTTTGGGAGCCTGAGCAACAGGTTCCTGTTGGGAGTTTTCTCACAGCTTTGCTGTATGGCCTTGATTAAGTCATTGGGGATGAGGCCGCAATCCCAACATCCTCCAACTAACTCCCAGGGTCCCTTTCAAGGCTCAACATCACATGGGATTTGTCCTCAAGAATATATTTTTGTTAGGTTGGGATGCCTGGGTGGCTCAGTCCATTGTGTGTCCAATTTCAGCTCGGCTCACGATCTCCTGGTTTGTGGGTTCGAGCCCCATGTTGGGCTCTGTGCTGACAGCTCGGAGCCTGGAGCTGCTTCAGATTCTGTGTCTCCCTCTCTGCCCCTGCTCCATTCATGTTCCGTCTCTCTCCAGCTCTCAAAAATGAATAAATGTTAAAAGAATTTTTTTAAAGAACATATTTTTGTTCCTTTTAATAGTATGTTATTTCTTAAGGGGTGAAAATTTTACAGACACAATAGGGTCCCTTCCCTGTTAAAAATATTTTTTTTAATGCTTTTATTTATTTCTGAGAGAGAGAGAGAGACAGAGAGGAGGGTCAGAGAGAGAGGGAGACACAGAATCTGAAACAGGCTCCAGGCTCCGAGCTGGCTGTCAGCACAGAGCCTGATGCGGGGTCAAACCCATAAACTGTGAGATCATGACCCGAGCCGAAGTCGGACGCCCAACAGTCTGAGCATTGCAAGGAACACAATCGACACTTAGTGTGTCATGTTTCAGTTTTGCTGGTCGAACAACCTCATGAATCTATTAATCACGCTTGTGGCCTCTGCCCTCCTTTGTAGCCAAAATTTTGTTCTAGGAACAGGGAGCCTTGAGGGTATAACCAACAGGTTATTTATATCAACAAGCAAAGGGGCAGCCCCACTTTCATCCAGCAACTTACAGCTCGGACAGCGAGGATGTCCCCGACAGAGAGCCATTTCAGGATATGAAAGAGCACATCTTCAGGGAGATTCAAGATGGTGAGGTTTCGGGGTCTCCTCCGTATTCTCCGCTTCGTAGGGTAACTGAAACACTTGGCACACCTGCAGTGGATCACTGGGAAAAAAAAAAAAATCCGCACGACGGTCTGTTTGATGGGCTGGAAAGGAGCGGGCTGACAGGCAGAGCTCTATCTGGAGATGACCCAACAGTCACTGACCCCTCTCCACAGAAAGAACCAGCCACACGTCTAGTCCCCAAGATTAAAATAAGGGAATAGAGGTACCCGTTCTATCAGGCATCACCATTCATTAAAAAATTCAAGCAACGCTTAAGGTGAAGAGCAGGCACTCGGCTATCAGGAAAGGAGGCGCCGAGCTGAGGGTGGTTCTCCCGCATCTCACGCTCAGGGAAGCCGTTCGGACCCCTGCCCACGTCTGCTTCTATTTGCACACCGCGCTACACGGAAGAAGTCCCTCGCCCGCAGGCACCTGGCCTCCTCCCCGCTGCCCCCCTGCACGACCTCCTCCGCAGGCCTTCCTCCCCTGCCCGGCCCTGCCCCTGAGTCACCTACCAGCAATTAACGGGCTGCGACGACCACACGTACCCGCGGGGCGACTGGTGCCCACGGAGCACCTGGATGTGACTACCACACCTTCCTGACCCCGGCGCTGTGGGCCAGAGGCGGGCTCGCCTAGCGGCCACTCTAACAACCCGCGACGGGGCTGCCGCGCTCACCGGCCCCCGACAGGTGCGCGGCCCCGCGCGGGGCGTTCACTCCAAGCCCACCCGCCCCCGCGACGCCGCTGGGCATTTAAACCGCGCGCCGGGCTGGCGTCGCCGGGACGCCTCGCGCGCCGAGCCGAAGGGCCGGAGCCGCCCCGCTCAGTGTCACCCCGCCGCGCCCCTCACCCCCGCCGCCCGCGCCCCGCGCCCCGCGCGCCACACTCACCGCCGCCGCTCCCCATCGCCGCCGCCGCCGCTTGCACCCCCGGCCGCCGTCAGCCCTGCGCGCCCCGCGCAGGCGCAAACCCGCCCCGCCGCCCGCCTGAGTTTTCAAATACGCCCGGCCCTCCCATTGGCCGGACGGGGAGGGGGGGACGCGCGCCTCTGGGCCGTCACGCCCCGCCTCCTTCCCCGCCCCCCGCCCGCCCGAGCGCTCGCGATTGGTCATGCCAGGACGCGAATTCGAACGCCGTCCGTGGATTCGTGGAGCCCGTGTGGCCGCCCCGCCTCCCCGGCCCGAGCGCGAGTCCCCAGGGAGCGCGGCGCAGGCTCGGTTGGTGGGGGCGTCCGTGCGCCCAGCACGGCTGCACTGGCCACTCAGGGTCCGGCGAGCGTCGTCCGCCGCGCGCCGTGGTCTGTCAGGGAAGGCTCGTGGGGACCCGCCGCGCCTCCGCCCGCACCTCAGGCGAGGAGAATGCTGGTTCGGCGCCGGGCCGCTACGGACGCGGACCGGGACGCAGCACTTTCAGGGACTCGGCTGGCGCGCTCGAGCCCTTCTAGCGAATCGTGGCTCACCCGTCCCTCGCACCGGACATCGTCCCTGTCTGTCCCCGGCCGGTCCTCACTGCCCCCTGGGGGCCCTTCCCGAAGTAGCAGCGCCCACCCGCTGGCTTCACTGGCTGCTGCTCCCTGTGTTATTTCGGGGCGCCGGGCAATGCCCTTCAGGCGGAGCAGTAGCTCTCCCCAAGTCAAGCCGCCACCTCCCCTCTGTCCCCGACCCTTTGCTCATTGAACCACCCAGGCGGGCACACACCTAGGGGACGTGGGGCCAGTCTGCAGCACCAGACAGAGACGGAGAGGAGGGTCACACGGGGTATGAGGGTCCAGCAGCTCCCCAAATGTCCCATGTTCCCACGCAAAAGCACGAGGAGTCCATGGTGGTCCCTTCAGATTTCTCATCCTTCCTCACCCCTTTGCTTACTGTTTTTTTGCCTGTTGCTGTGTTTTCCTGTGTCCCCTGCGTCCCCTGCACTGTGACTGTGTTGCTCGTGTCCCCCCTGCCCAGGGGCAGAAGTGCGCTCTTCCAGCTTAGACACCTTGAGGGGATGATAAGCCATTCTCACTACGCCCAGTCCCCTGAGGAGCCCAAAACGGAGTCCCTCAGCTGTCCTCTCTTCTTGTTCTTTATGTCCTTATCATTTTCTTTTATTTACGGGGAGGTAAAGTTCTCTTATTTTTCAGAAAACTGGTGCTCTTGGCCATGCTGTGGGCCCTCACCCCCATTCTGCACCCTGGCAAGAAGAGCCCTGGGGGCCCAGCAGGGCGACAGGCCTCTGGCAGAGGATGAGAAGGGCTCATTTCCCACTGGACATCCACTCGGGAGGGTGAGAGAGCTCATTGGAAAAGTCTAGATTGTCAGGGGCTCAGGGAAGTTCCTGACTGGAATAAGATGGCTGTTGAAGACGTGGGGGTGAATGAAACTGAAACTCAAGGGGGGCCGGGTGCAGAGGTGGGAGTGAGGAGCAGTGAATGAGGCCGAGAGCCCGAGAGGGATCCCACCGTTCAGTGAGCCTGTAGAGGAGAACCAAACACAAGCGGGGGGAGAGGGGGAGCGCGGGCTGGCATCAGAGGGGGGCGGGGGACACTGTGGAGTGCCACACAGCAGTCACATGGAGAAAGGATGGAGAAACTAGAGGGTGTGGCAGCCAGGGATGTAATCGCGCTGTAGTTTGGGGTGAGTGGTGATGGGAGGTGGCAAGTGTGGCGAGCGTGGTCAGGGACCGTAGACCCGTTCCCGGAGCCTGGCTGAAAGCAGGAGGGAACTACCTGCAGAGGAGGAGCTGAGGGGGCTTTGTGGAAGGGACATGTGTGACCATGATGCTGGAGAGAGAAAGGCTAGGTGACAAGGCGCAGCTCAGAGGAGAGTCCTGGTGATAGAGTGCCCGGCCACATCTATTCGCGCTCTTGGCTAAAGGGTGTAGGGGCCGGGGGCACGCAGGCCTTAGCTCGGTGGTTCTCACACCTGAGCTGCATCAGCACTTGTGAACCTGGGGTGCTTACAACCCAAGATTGCTGGGGCTCACCCCAGATATTTCCGGTTCAACAGGTCTGGGGCGGGGCCCAAGAATCTGAATTTCTAACAAGTTTCTGAAAGATTTAGAATCTGCCGCCTAGGAACCCGGCTTTGAGAACCTCTCCCTGAACTGAATCTTGCCTCTAGTATAGGTTGACTCTGGAAAGTTGTCCCTAAGTTCCGGGTTACTCACTGGAGGAGCACTTCACGGGCTGGTGGTGGGATCACAGGCAGCCTTGCCCTAATGTTTGTAGGGACCAGGGCAGAGAACAGATGGAGCTCCACAAATCCAAATATTGAAATAATGAAAAATTGAGAGAATTAGGTTGGCAAACTCATCAGCCTGCTCTCTGCTCCTACCGCAGAAGGTGCAGCGTCATGACAAGCCGTGGTCACACCCAGGCCACCGAGCCTCGAGAAGCCATGGCAGGAGGTCCTCTGAGGCTGCTTCCACAAGCCAGGTCTCAGGGAGGCTTCGGGCCACTCAGGTGGGACGCAAGGGGATCTTTTCCTATGGCAGTGCACCTGGGCACTCCACCAGGCCTCAAAGGTGAGAGGTCCCAATCTGACCGAGAGCCCCCTCCAGCCCTCGGCCCCGAGCTGAGCTCACTGGGTCTACAAGCTGCCTTAGTACCCCTTGCAGCCCATGGCAGGCTGTGGACTCTTTATTACAGCAAGACGGATTCTGAGGGAAGTGGGGAGGGAGGCTGGGAGGGGGGTGGAGCTGGCTCTGCTTGTTCTCGTTTCTCTTCCTCTTGGGTAGGGGGCATAGGGCAGGTGAAGCTCAGGAAAACGTCCTCCAGGGAGACTTGGCTGACAGAATAGTCGTCCAGCATGAACCTCTTCTTGGCTTGCTCCAGAAAGTCAAACACCTGTGTGAAGGAGGGAGCCCACTGTGGGTGACAGGCACAAGGGAGGGGAAGGCAGCAGAGGGTAGAAAGAGGGAGTATCTCTAGGGGTGTTATAAGGCCCCCTTCTCAGCTGCCCCCAGAGCGCTTCCCCGGAAGTGAGTCCTATGGAACGGAGCTGCCTGCCCCTTCAGGGAAGGGCCCCTGGCTGGGGACAGTGCCAGAAGGCAGAGCCCCTGGCTGGATCTCTAGCTTGCTGCGGGCCCGGGGCACGTGGCATCCACTCTCAGGACCTGCTCCCCTCTCTGTGAAATGAGGGGTTGGACGAGCTGATCTCTTGAGGGCACCTTCTAGCTCACACATCCTTATCTTCTGTGAACACAGTGTGAACGTTGCCATAGAGACGGCGGAGAGGCCTTGCAGCGGCTTGAATGCAGCTTATATGCAGAAGGGGGAACACCTCACCCCAGAAAGCCAGTGACATCAGAGGTTTGCTCCCTCTGATACCCAGGTACGTGCTCACCTCGGCCCAGCTGAGGCCACCCCCGGGCAGGTGGTAATGGACCATCCCTTGGTGCTCATCCTCCAGGACGCTGCCTGCAGCAAGGACACAGCGTGTCCCCGTGAGGGCCGGGCCGCGGGGCCAGGGAGAGCGGCCCCGGGGACCCTGGAATCACGGCCCTCCTCCCAGGGGTCAGGGGCGTGGGGCTCGGCAGGGACGAGGCGCGGAGGCCCTCTGTGCAGCGGCACACACCTGGGAAGGTCAGGTTCACGAACGCCTTGAACTCCTCCAGCGCCTCCTGCCGCCCCTCGCTCCGGACCTTGGCCCGCAGGGAGTAGCCGCTGCCAAACTTGCTCTTGAGGTGCTGCGGGCTGCCCAGGCACTTGAGCTGGCCCTGCACCATGATGGCCAGCCGGGTGCACAAGGCCTCACATTCTTCCATGCTGGGGAGAGGGGCAGAGGCCTGACACGGGGCCGGGGGCGCTGATGCCTGCCTCCCGTGTCAGAGGTCACACAGATGGGCAAGTGTTGTCGGCCAGATCAAACTGTTCCTGATTCCCGTGTTCAGGGGGTGGCCCACGTGGCTAAGCCTGGGGACTTTCCGCACAGACTCTGAACCCGCTGCTGGCAAATTTTCTGTCCACCTGGCCTCACCCAACCCATCCCTTCCACAGCCTCCACTCTGGCTCTTCCACCGACCCCTAGAGACCCCGGCTCTACCTGTGGGTGGTGAGAACAATGGCCTTGCCAGACTCGCGGGCCCGTGCCACGGTGTCCCAGAGCAGGCGCCGGGCCACGGGGTCCATGCCAGTGGACGGCTCGTCCAGGAAGATGACGGAAGGCTCTCCAAGCAGGGCAATGCCAGTGCTCAGCTTCCGCTTGTTGCCACCGCTGGGGGCAGAGTGGGGAAAGGTTGTGGTGAATGGCAAATATCAACAGGGGGTAGCCCAACCCCCCATGTGTGCGTGCGCATGTACACATACGCACACACTTTTTCTTCTCAGTTCAGAATGTAGTCCACGGCCCTAGTAGTCCACCACCCTCCCGTAAGGTTGCATTGTGACTTGGCTATGATTTGTGTCCAAATCATTGCCCTGGACACAGGGACACAGGGACACGTAGTGAGCGCATGGTTGATGAGCGTTCTTTGAGGGTCTCTGCAGTGTTCGTGGAGTAAGGACAGAGGACCATTGTAGCCATTTTTTTAAGTGGACACATAGCATTTATAATGCACAAGAGGCTGTTTTAAGCTTTGCAGATATTAACTCGTGTAATCTTCAAAAAAATGCAAGGAAGTACAAAACGCTGCTTGAAGTCAAAGCCAGTAGAGAGGGAAGAGCCAAAGACGACAGTCCCCTGACTCCTGGGCAAGTCTGATTTCCCAGCCCTGGAGTGGGATACTGCTGCGAACCTCCAGGGGGCGCTGCACACAACTCCAGCCTGTGGCGGGGCGGTGGTGGGGTTGGGGCAGGGCGTGGCCCTGCTTGACCAGCTCACTTGAGTTGGGTAGTATGGGTGGCAGCAGAAAACTTAGGCTTCTCAGCAAAACATGAGCAGTTCAGATGCCTCAGACCCAGCAGGATAAGGTCGTGTGTGAAATGGAAACCAAAAATCAGAAGCCCTCTGGGAAGTGGCAAGATAGTAACACCTTTGGTGCCTTCTGCTTGTCCTTAGCCACTTGCCTGCTAGGGGCCAGAGGAAGCAGTGCCCTGGGGCAGCCCAGGCCGTGGACCCATCCTTATGAGGGAGCTCATATGCCCAGAGCTGATGGACCTGGCTCTGCACCACCTCGGTCTCACTGGTGGAGGTGGCGGGACTGAGGGACCCCAGGTCTCACCTGTAGGTCTTCACCAGTTTGTCAGTGTAGGCATACATCAGTAACTCCTCAAGAATTTGTTCCACGCAGGCGCTGATGTGGCGCTCGGGGATGCCCCGGAGCCGGGCATACATGACCAGCATCTCCCAGCCCGTCATGTGGTCCAGCAGGGCGTCGAACTGGGGGCAGTAGCCGATCTGCTGCCGCACCTGGATGGGGGGGAGGCACGTCAGAAGGAGAGCCGCCCGCTGCGCAGGGGCCCAGACACCTGCCCTGGCATTGCCCCAGCCCGGGTTCCCGCTCTGCCTGGTGCATACCCACGTTTGTCATGTGGACAGACGTGTCCAGATGCAGCGCTTGCTGGCAGGGCCTGTGGACGGGCACACGTGGGGCCCTTCCTCCCACCATCCTGGCATGGAGCCTCAGTGCCCAGCGCCTCCCTGCTTCATCACCTTCCAAGTATCAGGTCAGTAGAAGATGCTTTATTTTTTCCCCTTATAAGACATATAACCTACAAATAGGTTTTCTTTATTTTCACACGAAGGCTACCAGGACCTGGCCCGGTCAGGGTGGTGTACACACCACCAGACTTTGCATGGACATGTTCTCTCCGCAGAGGACCAACCGGGTTTGGTTTTTGCCCCCTCATGCCATGTCTACTGTTTTGCAAATTACTTTTCTAACTCAGCACTATGTCTTTTTTTTAAATGTTTGTTTTTGAGCGAGAGTGAGTGAGAGTGCAAGCGAGGCGGGGGGAGGGACAGGGAGAGAGAGGGTGATGGAGGATCCAAGCAGGCTCTGTGCCGACACGGGGTTTGAACCCATGAACTGTGGGATCATGACCTGAGCTGAGGTCAGACGCTCGGCTGACTGAGCCACCCAGGCGCCCCTCAACATTAAGCGCGATCCTACCCCAAGTCAGTTTAACTGCTACTTTGGCATTCAGGGAAGGTTTCTAGATTATATTTAGCTGTTTATAAAAATTCAGGCACATAGGAGTTATTTCCAAGGTTTTGCCATTATGAACTTGCAATGAACTACTCTGGTTTGTGCCCATGGTCAAGTGCTCTCCTGGAGTACATGATAAAGATAGTAGGGTGCCATTTTTGAAAAATAACCAGTGCTCTTCTTCCTGTCTCCTTCCCCACTCAAGCCGCCTTACCACGCTGGGCCCCACCATCTGGGGTGGAGTGGGCGGCCCTGACCGGGCACAGACCAGAAAACCGCCTGGATGGAGTGAGCTAGGGGACAACTCGTCAGGGACACCCCACAACGGAGGGCAGGGCTCCCCCTGAAGGCAGATGCCACTGGGCAGGAACAGAGTGCCTGGAGGAAAACCAGACTTGATAGAAGATGCTTCAGGCATCTCGCTACGAGACACGAAGATTGCTGGTAGGTTGCCTTCATTGGGTGATCTTAACCTGCTGTTGCTTCTATTTCTAGTTCGCTGAAAATTGTCTATAATCGTGAGTGGGACGGGGTTCCTATCCTGTGCTTTTTCAGCATCTGTTAAAAAATAGTTCTTTCCCTCCTTTCCCCTACTAAGGTAGTAATTTCCGTTGGTGAGTTTTTTGCTCTGGAACCTTAACTCCTGTTTCTAGCGCAAACGTGACTTGATCATAAGTTTTAGTTTCTCAACATCCTGCCGGCTTTGCGTCAGTAATTTAGGGCATTTATGTTCCTACGTGAAACTGGTCCCTGGCTCGTTTTGGGTACTGTCCTTGCCTGCTTTTACCAGCACTTCCGAGCTGGGTAGCACCCCGGTTTCTCTCCCAGTCTTCTGCAGACCTTATGCTACGGGGACGTGATCTGCTCGGTGGTGGTTGGTCCCGTTCAAGAAGGGGTAGCTCTTTGACCTTTGTTTCAGGCCTATACAGGTTTTGGTCTATATAGGTTTTCTAGCTCTTGAAACAGTTTTGGGGTAGAAGGCTTGAAAATGTAATGTGATTTAGAGAAAAGGAAGGACGGTGGTGTTTCTTACACACCTGACTTGACCATAAAGCTACTGTTTCCATGGCGTGGCTGGGCGCCCACGGAATGGAGCCCCGTTCAGCACAGGGTGGTGCCGTGGACCAAAGACAGCCCCTTGGTGGAGCCGGATAATTCTGGGGCGGTGAGCGGGTCACATAGAAATGCAGGTGGACTCTTGGGAGTCACAGCTGATGCTTGGAACACCAGCACGTCCTGGTCAGAATGAATTTTAGAAGATGCAAAAGAATGCTTGAAAGTTCTCGTCCAGATCAAGGGTGGGGAGCAGAAGGCTCACGAAAAGGGGAGAGCAAGGAGTTTGCTGCCAAGATGGACCTGCGTGGGGTTCCCAGCGGGAAGCGCAGGAACGGAGGTGCAGGCTTAACTAGATTTAAGTTCGACGTTTCTGGTGCTGACGTCACGCAGACGGCCAGGAGGTGATGTGCAGATGGGTCCTGGGAAGACTGGAATCTGATTTCCGGGCAGATGTCAGTTTATTTTATTCTATAAATATATTTTTATTTTGTGATTTTTATTTTATTTTACTTTATTTTATAAATGTATTTTATTATTGTATTTCATTTTTTCGCGTTATCTTGAGAGAAAGCGCGAGCAAGCACACGAGGGGGAAGGGCAGAGAGAGAGGGAGAGAGACTCCCCAGCAGGCTCTGCACACTCAGCGCAGAGTTCCACACGGGGCTCCAGCCCACGAACCCTGAGATCATGACCTGAACTGACATCAAGAGTTGGATGCCCAACCAGCTGAGCCACCGAGGCGCCCCTGATTTTAAATAACAGAGAAATGTGACATTTATCACTCGAGTTTATGGAACGTGTTCATACTTTCTTCTGCACAAGTAAGGGTCCCTGGGCTGGATGGCTGGTGGCAGTAAGGCGGGGGTGGGGTGGGGGGGGTGGGGGCGGGTCTGCCCAGGACCGGCTGCCTGGTCCTCTTTCCCTCCCTTCATTTGTATCTTCCTTCCCTGTTAGAGCAGCTTTATTGAGACACAGATTCACATAACCATGCAATTCACCTATTCATCACATTCAATCACATTCTCCACTGAATGTGTACAATTCAATGGTTTTTACCATATCAAAGGGTGGATTTATCATCACAATCAAGTGTAGAACATTTCCTCTCCCCCTTCCCCCCACACCTGCCAGAGAACCCCCATTTCCATTAGCAGTCACTCCCCATTTCCCCTGCTACCCCCGGCCCCTGGCAGCCACTTATCTACTTACTGTCTCTCGATTTGCCTAGTCTGGACATTTCCTAAAAGCAGAATCATACAACATAAGGTCTTTTTAAAAATTTTATTTATGTATTTATTTATATATTTATTTTTTAACGTTTATCTTTGAGAGAGGGACAGAGACAGTGAGGGGAGGGGGAGAGAGAGAGGGACACAGAATCTGAAGCAGGCTCCAGGCCTGAGCTGTCAGCACAGAGCCCGACGTGGGGCTCAAACCCACAGACCACGAGATCATGACCTGAGCTGCAGTTGGACTGAGCCACCCAGGTGCCCCCTTAACATTTTTTTTAACTTAAGTAGTCTCTGCATCCAACATGGGGCTCAAACTTGTGAGCCCGAGATTAAGAGGCACACGCTCCACCAGCAGAGCCAGCCAGGCGCCCCCGTTATGTGGCCTTTTGTGACCGGCTTCTTCCTCAGAGCATCATGTCTTCCAGGTCCATCCACGCGATAGCATGTGGGTCAGTGCCTTGCCCCGTTACGTGGCTCAATGTTACCCCGTCCTACGCATAGATCACGTGTTGTGTATCCGTGTGTCCACTGACGGACCTTTTGGCTCTTGTGAATGATGCTGTGAACACGCATGTGCAGGTTGTCGTGTGGATGTAGGTTTCTATTTCCCTGGGGTTCACACCTCTGGGTGGAGTTTCTGGCGCATGTGTTCACTTTACATTTCATCTTTTTTGAGTATTTTCCCTGATCATGTTTTCGTTGGGGCCGTCAGTCCCTTTTTTTAAAATTTATTTATTTATTTATTTATTTTTTAAATTTTTATTTATTTCTAGGAGAGAGAGAGAGAGAGACAGCGTGAGCAGGGGAGGGTCAAAGAGAGAGGGAGTCACAGACTGAAACAGGCTCCAGGCTCTGAGCTGGCAGTCAGCACAGAGCCCGACGCGGGGCTCGAACCCACGAACCGCGAGATCATGACCTGAGCGAAAGTTGGACGCTTAACCGACTAAGCCACCCAGGCGCCCCTCCAGGGACGGTTCTATGAGCAATCTCAGCTTTTCTTTCCTTTCCCCTGGACTTTTGGCACCTCGCAACCACTCGCCTGTTNAGAGAGAGGGAGACACAGAATCTGAAACCGGCTCCAGGCTCTGAGCTGGCTGTCAGCACAGAGCCTGACATGGGGCTCAAACTAACAGACTGTGAGATCATGACCTGAGCCGAAGTCAGAGGCTTAACCAACTGAGCCACCCAGGTGCCTCTGGGTGGCTCTTATTTATAATTATCATTATCATTATTTGGTGCACATAGGCTGGGGATCAGTTCTGTTAGTTTTTTTTTTTTTTTAATGTTATTTATTTACTCTTTTTTAAAAAATAATTTTTAACATTTGTTTATTTTTGAGAGACAGAGTATGAGCAGGGGAGGAACAGAGAGAGAGGGAGTCACAGAATTCGAAGCAGGCTCCAGGCTCTAAGCTGTCAGCACAGAGCCCGACGCGGGGCTCAAACCCACAAACCGCGAGATCGTGACCTGAGCTGAAGTTGACTGCTTAACCAACTGAGCCACTAGGCGCCGCCTGTCAGATTTTGTTTCTCCGGAAATGTCTTTTTTCTTACCTTCTTCTTACACTGGCTTGAGTGCATGTATCATTCTGGGTTGGCTGTTAGCGCTGGTGCCATTGGGAGGGTGTCATTCTGTTGTCTTTTGGCCTCTGTCCTTTCTGCTGAGAAATCGTCTGCTTGTCTAATTGTTGCTCCGTTGAAAGTGGGTCCTTGCAGTCTTTTCCTTCTGTGTTTGTTGTTCAGCAGTTTATGATCAGGTTCCTAGGGATTTATTTCTTTTAATTTCTCCTGCTTCAGACTTCTAGCGATTGACTTATTTGTAACTTGATGTCTTTCATAAACTTTGGAACATTATAGGCATTAATTTTTAAAGTCCCACTTTGTCTCATATTTGTGTCCTTTCCATTTGAGACTTCGATGACGCGTCTATTAAACCTTCTCGTTGGATCCTCTGTATTAGATTATTACATATGCTGTAAAGCCCATTACTCCAAAATGTAGCTGGAGTTTGTTAGTTATTCGGTGGTTTCTGCAGGTCAGATCACGAATCTGGGGGCAGTTTGGCTGGTGGTCCTGGGCAGGGTCTCTCAGGGGGCGGCCCTTAGCCTCACCTAAGGGCTGTGGGATCAGCTCACTCTTGTAGCTGCGCGCAGGCCTCCGGGCCCCGGGGCCGTTCCCCCCACGTGGGCCCCTCCACAGGGCTGTCTGAGCGCCCTCATGATGTGGCAGTCAGCGTCCCCCACCCTGAGGGATGTGAGGGAGGGGGTGTACCCCAGATGGCGGGCTCTCTTATCAGCTAGCCTTGGGAGCATCTCTTCTACGCTGTTTTGCTGGTCGCAGGGACCCACCTTGGTCCAGTACAGGAGGTGCTCACAGCTCAAGGGTGTGAATCCCAGGACGGAGACCCTGCGGGCTGTTTCCATGGAGTGCCATGTTCCTTAGCTTCTCCCGGACGGCGTCTGCCCTTTGAGTCTCCAGGCTTTGTTCTATGTTATTTTGAGGCGAGATTTTGTCTTGTATATGTACATGGTCATTTTTTAGTGTGCACCAAGCATTGTGTTTGCGTAACTGTTTGTAGAAATCACTGAAGCCAAGGGTGATAGCATTTTCCCCCAGAGAGGATGGACGCTTGCCTCCAGCGGGCGCCTGGGAGCACTGGCGGCTCAGGGTTCCGTCAGCCCCATTTTGGGGACTGGGACCAGGCCAGGCTGTTTTGCGATCCTTGGTTGAGCTTGTCTACGTGTAGCTCATCTCTGCAGCGGGGTGCAGCCTTGGGGGTCCCCACTCTGTGAAAGGTGCACTTGCCGGAACTCGGGGCTTGTCACTCTGATATCAGTAGCGACACTCAGCTCCCAGCTCCCGGGCCAGATCTGGTCCCTTCCCTGGGCCTCCCCCTCTTCCGTCCTGGCTCACAGTCTTTGCCATCTTTCCAGCCCACTGGAGATATTCTCAAAGTTTGGTCCTGTTTTTCTAGTTATTACTGCAAGGAAGGGGGTCAGAGTTATGTAATTTGCCATTGCCAGAAGCCTTACCTGTAATTTTGAAAATGGTAAAAAGAGATAAAGTGAGCAGTAAATGTTTCACAGGCGTGAGAGGCTTACGTTGGCTGTGGTTGTCCAACCGGGCTCTGTACCGGAAGGTGGAGGGGCCTGTGTGGGCGCTTCTGCTCTGTCTCTGAACATGATTGTGGCCGCGGCCTCTGCGACTGGTTGGATGAACTTCCCGGCGACACGGTGGCTGGTGCTGTGGAGTGCAAGTTCAATTATGCCTCCTCGGGTTGGTCTCTTACTCCGCCTTCCACCGGCTCCACCGGATGTTGACCGCCACCAGCTTGTCCCTTTCCACTCCCTGCATGGCAGGGGCTCACTTTCATAACCAGAGCTCCTTGCCCCCGAGGGTCCTCGGGGTGAGCGCAGCCACTGGCGCATCCTGGGCCCTCGCTGAATCGGAGCCGGTGGTTGAGGTGGGGACTCCAAGAGGAGGATAAGGTTCGAACGGCTCATCCGGCTCATCCGAAGTTTGGGCTTAAACTGGGAGGCGTGTGAGTAAGGCCGTCCAGGGGGCGTGCGCGTGCGCGTGCAGGCCTGGTGTGTGGGTCCTCGGCCTTGGCAGGGGGAGGCCGAAGACAGCAGTGGGGAGCGGGGGTAACAACCAAGTCAGGCAGGGGCGGCGAGTGCAGAGTGAGAAGTACAGAGGCCTGGTGTTGCAGCCCCCTAGGAGTCTGGGAAAGAAGGGTCAGGGCGGGAAGAGCCAGGGGAGAGGGGAAGGCTGCAGCTCGCAGGGGGGAAGGTCCTCATTAAGAGATGCCCGCAGAAGGCGAGGAAGAGTAGCCTCGGAGTGTGCGCTCAGGGGGGCGGCCGGGAGGTAGCGGGCCGGGTGGGAGGGACGTGGAGGGCTGTGAGCGCTGCACACCGGAGGTGGGGAGCCCAGAGAAGAGGTCTGAGGTAGGGCCGTGGGGCCGGGGGCACGTATACACCTGACCCGTGGGGTCTTCAGAGACCAGCGGCACCCCTGCCCCCTCGTCCAGCACGTCTGCTCGGCCCCGGTCACACCCTACCTTCCCGAGGTGCGAGCTGATGTTGAAGCCCCTGATAAAGGCGTTCCCAGAGGTGATGGGCTCTTCCCCGGTCAGCATTTTGAAGACTGACGTTTTCCCAGCTCCGTTGACACCAAGAAGGCCAAAGCACTCCTTTGCTCGGACGGCGAAGGACACCTTGTTCACGGCCAGCACGGGCACCTTACTGGCATAGACCTGGCATGCCCAAGACAGAAGGTGCTTGGTGAGGAGCCCGGGGTCAGCAGCCCGGACCCTCCCCCCCCCCACCCCGTGCTTGTCACCCCCATTCTGGGACAGGCCCCGGCTGCCCTCGGGGCCCAGGGGCTGGCGTGTGCCGGCTCGGTCTCGCCTTCCTTCCCAGTTCTCCAGCATAAGCGGCTTCCCTTCCGTCTTTAAAACAAACAAAGCCCCTCTGGTGTTGCCTGAGTTGCTGGTGTGTTGGTTGGTTTTGACCACCGGTGACTACGAGGCTACAAAGTTCAGGGATGTTTTCAGGGTCTCAGTAAAATTCTGGCCAGAGCTTTGGAGACTAACCAGGTTGGCTCTGAGCTGTCCGAGACCCCCCGCTCCGCCGCCCCACGAGCTCCCCTGCAAAGTGCCTTCTAGATCCCGGAGAGGGTCAGCCGGTCCAGTCCAGCCTTGAGGCTTCCTGGGCTTCGGAGCTCCGGTGCCCTCCCACACTAGGCCCTCCTGGCCTGCAGGGGACCCCCGAGAGGTGATGGAGGGTGAGGCGCTAACGCCTGTCCTTGGGCTCTCTGGGCACAAACAAAACAGGAAGTGGCTGCCAGGCTGTGCGAGCCCTCGGGGGCTGGAGCTAGCAGGCGGCGCCTGGAGCCCCCTGGCGGTGGCTTCCTTGTCAAAGGGCCCCCTGGACAATGGTCTTTGCCTTCGGGGCACGTCTGGCATTACCTTTGACACGTCTTTAAGAACCAGTGGGTTTTCCTCACGCAGCTTTTCTAAGCCAGTCTGGACCGTTTTTGCCTCCTCCTCCACATCTTGGTCCCCTGGCACCCACATCGCTACCTGCTCTCCCTAGAGGAAGGTGGGAGGCGTGAGTGCTTTGCGAGCGCAGGAGGTGGAGGCCCCCCTCGGCCACGGTGGGTATTCTGGACTGAGCGCACAGCTGTGGGACCAGGGTATGGCGGACGTGGAAACCTCACATGGCTTTTCCTTTTGGGGAAAGTTAAAAGACTTGAAGCCTGGGGATGTGAAGGCACAAGTCCATTTTCTACAGAGTTTCCTTGCAGGGCTTTCGCCTCTGGAAGATATTCAGACCAAGAGCAGACAGAGCAGACCTTCCTCCTCCCAGGCTCCTGGATGGACACGGACACGGGGAAGAGGCGTTCCGGAAAGGGGACTAGTTTTAAGAAAGCCAGGGTCTTGCTTCTGCTCTGCTCACCAGGGTCACAGGAGCCAAGCCAGTCCCCTTCCCCTCCCCATCCCTTCAGATCCACGGGGGTCCCTGGCACTGGCTGTCACCCCCTCTGCCCTGGGGGTAGATTAGACAGTCTCCAGACTCCCTCAGATGCTGAGAGTCAAGGCCACTCCCGGCCACAGACAGTAGACTGTAGAGCCAGCCGGTTCACCGGTGCTTCGAGAGTCACACTCTGACCTACTCACCAATTCTTGCTTCCCCTTGAGGTCAGAAAACCTGGCTTTCAGTTTCCACAAGACACTGGTTTCGATGAGGAGAAGCAGGATGACGTATGCGGACCCCGAGATGGCGAGGGCCGCCATGTACTTCCCTATCCCGGGGGACTCCCAGGCGTAGATGCTCTCCTGGACAGTGTATTCCTCTGCTAACGGGGAATAAGCAGGCGTTACCAAACTTTGGGTGGTTTCCTGGCTTTGCCTCACCTTCGACGTAGAGTGGGCAAATTCCTACCAGAGCAGGTACCATTGAAATGCCACAGGAGTGCCATCAGTGCTGTTACCACATCCCAGCAGGAGGTAAACATGAACAACACTTTGTTTTTCTGGCGACAACCCATCATCTGTGCAAATAATGCAGTAAAGTCAAGGACCTCACTCTGTCCACGTGACAGCTGTTTGAAATGCAAGATAGTTATGCATTTGGTTCTTCGATCTGTCATCAGTCTCCTGCGGTTTCAACTGGCCAGTCACATAAAAACATCCGGGAGCCTCTATTTCCCTCTTTTTTTTTTTTTTTTTTAAAGAAATTTTTAAGGTTTTTATTTATTTCTAGGAGAGAGAGAGAGACAGCGTGAGCAGGGGAGGGTCAGAGAGAGAGAGAGACACAGACTCTGAAACAGGCTCCAGGCTCTGAGCTGGCAGTCAGCACAGAGCCCGACGCGGGGCTCGAACCCATGAACCGCGAGATCATGACCTAAGCAAAAGTCGGACGCTTAACCGACTAAGCCACCCAGGCACCCCTCTATTTCCCTCTTTTTAATCTGATCTGCTTTAAAAGTTTTCTTTTAAATATGTGTACTTTACAGTTATGCCATTGGAGCGCCTGGGTGGCGTAGTCGGTTAAGCATCTGATTTCAGCTCAGGTCATGATCTCACAATTCGTGGGTTTGAGCCCCGCGTCGGGCTCTGTGCTGACAGCCAGCTCAGAGCCTAGAGCCTGTTTCAGATTCTGTGTCTCCCTCTCTCTCTGACCCTCCCCTGCTCACACTGTCTCTCTCTCTCAGAAATAAATAAAACATTAAAAAGATTATAAAATTATGCCATTAATACACACTGGGGAAAAGGGACGTAGACGAGGAAGAAAATAAAGGTACTTCTCCATGCCCCCAAACTGTTGTGATAGTTTTGTTGTTTAATCCTCCTACCCTTTCAGGATATGATCTTTTACAGTGTAGGTGGAATGATGCTATGTATTATTTTCTCCAACTCACTAGTTTCATTTAATAGCGCATAATGGACGTGGACTGTATCAGGACATAGAGATCAAAATAATAAAGGTCTCTGGCAATGGTAAACACATGGACAATGATGAGAGCTAGTATTATTGCAAGTTGGGTTTGTAACTCCGCTCGTGCGTTTCTACAGCACTGAAGAAACTACGCATAAAAACAATGACCCATCTATGATTCTGGATACACAACACAGTAGTTGAAAGAGAGTGGGTATGGGCAGTATAGGAGCAGTTTTACGTTACTGAAGTTAAGCTGGTGCAAACTGGAAATGGAATGTTAGAACTGAAGGGTGTTTTGGGACCACAAAGAAGATTGCTGTAGAATATGCATGAAAGGAAATAAAGAATTAGGAAGTTTCATAGGAGGTACCTAAAGTAGTTTAATTCAGAGTCTCAAAGTGAAATGGTGGCCACCAGAGGCTGGGGGAGGGGGTGGCAGTGTTTCATGGGGACAGAGTTTCGGTTGTGCAGGGTGAAAAAGGTTCTGTAGACAGGGGTGCCTGGGTGGCTCAGTCGCCTGAGCACCCGACTCTTGATTTCAGCTCAGGTCATGATCCCATAGTTTGTGAGTTTGAGCCCCGCATCGGGCTCTGCGATGACAGCGTGGCATCTGCTTGGGACTCTCTCTCCCTGCCTCTCTCTCTCAAAATAAATAAACTGGGGCACCTGGGTGGCTCAGTCGGTTAAGCGTCCAACTTCGGCTCAGGTCATGATCTCACAGTTTGTGGGTTCGAGCCCCGCGTCGGGCTCTGTGCTGACAACTAGCTCAGAGCCTGGAGCCTGTTTCGGATTCTGTGTCTCACTCTCTCTCTGACCCTCCCATGCTCACACTGTCTCTCTTTCTCAGGAATAAAAAATAAAAAAATAAATAAATAAACAAACAAACTTAAAAAATAAAAGTCCTGGAGATGGACGACAGCAATGCTGCACAACAGTGTGAATGTGCTTCATGCCACTGAACTGTCTGCTCAAAAATGGACAAAATGGTAAACTTTATATAAATTTTCCCACAATTGAAAACAATAAAATTTTAAAAGGTATTGGAGAGAATGTGAACAGATTAGAGCCATCCTATATCGCTGGCAAAAACGTAAAATGGTGTAGCCACTGTGGAAACAGTTTGGTGGTCCCCCAAAGAGCTAAACCACATATTCGCTCATAGGCGTGACTCCAGAGAACTGAAATCACATCCACGCGGAAGCTGGTATGTGAACGTTTGTGGCAGCATTATTCATAACTGCCAAAAAGTGGAGACAGCCCACGTGTCATCCCTGGATGAATACATGAGCAAATTGTGGCTCCTCCACACAATGGAATAATGTTCAGCCATGAAGAGGGAACAAAGCGCTAATACCTGCTACAAAGTACATGAACCTTGAAAACATTATTCCGAGCGGGAGGAGGCACACGTAAAGGACCACGTACTGCATGATTCCATGTATATGAAATGTCTGCAAGAGGCAGAGCCACAGAAACAGAAAGTAGATTTTGTGGCTGCCAGGGGCTGTGGGGAGAAGGGAATGGGAGTGTGAATGGAGGGTTTCTTTCTGGGGTGATGGAAATGTTCTGGAATTGCGATCATGGTAGTCCTTGTACCACCTGGTGAGTATGCCCAGACCCCCCGAATTGTGTCGCGTAGGAGGGGAGTCTCCATTCGCAATACTCACAAGCTTTATTACACTGAAGTGGGCTCAGGTTCTTGATTTTGCATAACTTCTGGAGTCCGTAGCTGTAGTATAAGTTGAAGAAAGCCATTCCCAGGCAGTGGCCAGGGAGCAGTAGGAAGGCTTGATCCAAGGACTCTGAGGCCGTGGTGTAGCCTTGGTCTATGAGGGCGACAGAGAATAGCAAGTGTCCTCGCAGCAAGGAAGAGGGCACATCTCCGGGTTCACCTTGCCTGTCACCGTGTAGCGAAGGATCTGCTACCTGGGTCTCTTAGTGTATCTGTCACCGCCCTGTCACCCCCAGGCCCCAGACCAGAGACCTGCTTCCCCTCTGTGGTCACTCAGCCCCCATGCCACGAACAGTTTCCTTTCGTGCTGCTTCTTGAGTCTGAATTTCTCTCCTGCTCCATTTGTTCCTGCTGATGTGTCCCAAAGAGCTTAGTGTGATTTGGGGGAAACCAGCGAGAGCTCGGCTGCCGCATGAAATTCGTCTGCGGAAGGGGTGAGTTTAGAGGCCAGAGGGTGACGCAGTTTACGAGGGAGCTGGGCCCTGACTGCATGGTCTGCTGGGCTGGCTGTGAGGTGGTCTGAGCGCCATCGGACGAATGGATAATGAGGACACATGCCCGCCTATATAGTTTGTGGAGACAAGACCATCATTCGCAGATACTGTATGTCACCACGTACCTGGAAGAGCTATGAGAATCAACCAGAGTAAGAAACTGAGGGCAAGACGGGTTGATTGGCTGGTTATGAAATAAACACGCAAAAACGGGGGCCCATTAGAGGTTAAGAGAAGCCAATTTTTACGTTCGTGTTATGTTAAAAAAGTGAACAAAATACCAAACAAGGTTGTGAAGAAATTGAGCTAAGTTTTACAAGTATTAAATGTTTATTTACAACAAATAAACACACGTGCCCTGTAGAAGGAAGATTCTACTGTACGCCTAAGTTCGTCACAAGAGGATGGATGCGCGGTGCGTGCATGGTGCATGGCCCGGTATGGGACTGTGTTGATAGTTCACGCATGCCGCTGAGTCCCCATCCCTGTTCGGGCAGCCCCAGCACAGCGACACCAACAGAAAGGAGAAACCAAGAGGGGGTTGTTGGGCTCTCATTTCAGACTTTGTGACATCTGGCATAGCTGGCTCCAGACCCACAGGTAATTTGGGGGAGCCCTGGGGAGAGGCTGAGCCAATTATACAAGAGGAAAGAAACTATACTCTCGGGACTTGCGTTTAGAGCTGTGTGGCTTTTGGGTACTAGTCTGTGTGAAATTCTTGCCAGTGGGGGCCACTGTGATGCATGATGAGTTGAACTTGGACACGAGGTGTCCCAACCAATGTGTGCTGGCAGTAGAGACACAGCCCACACAGGACGCAGAGTTTGGGGCTACACTTACACACTCGCCGAGGTGTGGATCCCCGAGGCCCGAGGGCCATGGCTCCGGTGACCAGGACTTGAGCGGCCTAGGAATTAACAGCCTGGCAGTATCTCCGGGCCCTGAGTGGGAAGTGTTTGGAATCTGAGCGGGGAAACCCCTCCCCCCACTCACCCTAACCCGAATCAGAGAGAAGCCACAAGCAATGCATCCAACTGAAGAAGCAGATATTCATGGCTCCCGCTTACTTCCCTTTCTTCTTTCACTCTGGATCCTACCCCAGAGCTGCTTAAAGGCCGAGGACACGGTCACAAACCATCCGTATCTCGCCCTCCACCCGAAGGCGACTTCTCTCTGCTGCGCCCCGGGGCTGGACTCACTCCATTCTGGGTCCTTTGCCTCCCTTCCTGCTTTGCCCTTCACCTTGTTGGCCTGTATCTTTCCACCAGCTTTTCAAGAATGAGACACGATGGGTCACATTTCTCTCGACCGTGGCCGAACTGTGGCTTGATTCTGTCCTTCTGCTTGATTGAGACAGTTGAATCAAGCCTAGAACATATCCCCAGGAAGCATCTGGATTTAAGGCATAGGTGCTTTTTCCATCCGTTTTGGACATTTGATGGATCCCTTCAGTCCTGAGCGTGGTTTGTTTTCAACTCTGGGAAATCTTGTTTTATTTCTTTGGTGAGTTCCTCAAGTCCACCCTCTCTTTGTGGAAGGCAGGGTGGCATCTCCTGGTCTCTCTCATGGAATCCGCCTTCCCTCGCGCCTTCCCGGTTTCCTCCTGTCTTTTTGCTCTACTCTCTGGGAGGTTGACAAATTTTATTTTCCAACCCTTCTGCTATATGTTTACGTGAGCAATCAGCACTTTCTCGCCCTCAGAGTTTTTCTTCCTCACGGAAGTCTGCTAGTTTTTTTAAAATGTTTATTTATTTTTAAGAGAGAGAGACAGAGTGCCAGTCAGGGAGGGGTAGAGAGGGAGACATAGTCTTCGAAGCAGGCTCCAGACTCCATGCTGTCAGCACTGAGCCCGACGTGGGGCTCGAGCTCTTGAACTGTGAGATCATGACCTGAGCCGAAGTCAGACGCTTAACCTACTGAGCCTCCCAGGCGTCCCAGACGCCTGCTGTTTAATAGATGTAGTCTTTTCTGAGATGGCTGATTTGTTTCCTGGTGGTGTGTTTTGGTCTCCATCTTCTCTGTGGCTGCCATCCTCAGGTGTTTGCTGATGCCTGCCTGTCTGTCCACAAAGACGAAAGGGGCACAGGGAGGCGAATTGCTAGCTTTGTGCATGGGGTCTGGGCGACATTCTGGGCAACCAGGCAGGGGACCAGGCCGAATGTGTAGGTCTCTTTTGCAGGCAGGTTCAGTTTGTCCAGAGGAGGGGCCTCTGCCTTCCCGTGTGACTGCCTGTGCGCCCTGTGCTTCCCGCTGGGGATACGGGAGCAGGGACAGTGGAGGCGCCACAGGCCATCATCTGCCCCACCTTCACTCCCAAGCCTCTGGGTCCCAAGCCCCTCCAGGATTCCGTGTGCTCAGTTAGGTCCTTGCTCAGCCATTTCCCCTCCAAATGCACTTTGGATGCTTCTTCAGCACGAGTTCATACACTGATTGCCTTTGCTATTGTTTTAGTAGAGGCTCAGGACAAGGGAGCTCAGATTTAGCTTTACACTCTTGTCTGTGTGAACTGCCTTGGTGACAGCAGCCTAATGAGGCCCCCCCGCGGCGAGTGTTGAAGGGTCAAGATCCAGCCTCTGACGGTGTCCTTTCTCAGGGTTGGGATGGGCATTGTTTCCCCCAGGCCACAAGTGGGGCTCCTTGTCGTGTCCCCACCTCCTTCCCCATGACTGTTAGGGTGGAGGGTGCCTCCTGCTGAGTGGGGGAGTGGTCTCAGCCCTCGGTGTTGCTGCATAGGAGGGGGGAGAAGAGATGGCATGAAGCAAGCATCTCTTCCAAGAAGAGATGGATCCCCGAGAGGCTGAGGCATCCAGAGAGAATGTCCAGAGGCCCCTGCACCCTGTCCTGGTCATTCTCTCTGACAGCTCTGCCCCATCAGGGCACCTCCGTGTCCTTGGACTTGCAGGTGCTTGTGTCTCTGGGGTGGGGCTGGGTGGCCTAGGAGAGGAGAGAGGGAGGAATCCTTAGGTTGCTTCCGGAGACTTAGGGCAGGGTTGTTCAGAGTGACTCCTGGACTGATCCGTGAACCTCGGTGCACGCTAACTACCGTTGAGAACTGCGAGGTTAGGGTTCCCTCAGGACGTGGCTTTGCTAACCCCTTTCCTCTCTCTGCGGTGCGCTTTTGTTCTGTTTCAATCATAAAGTCAAAATGCTGTTGCTTTTCTGATCTGCTCGGATGGAAATAATTCCACTTCCGAAATTCCCCAGGTGGCTTGCATAACTAGAAAGGGTGCCGCAAAACGCAGCCAGTTAGACCTTTAAAATGAGCCCGAGGTGGATGGGAACACGCGCATGACCAGTCCTCTGAGAGACAGAGTGGCCCCTAGGCTGAAGACAGAGGGAGCTGTTCACGCACTGGTAAGCAGAGACAACCACAGAAAGTCACCTTAAAGGAGGTGGTTGCCGTCAAAGTAAACGACAAAGAGAATCGGGGTAGAAACCCCGACGTAGAGAGAGATTCGAATAGCCCAAACGCGGAGATGTCGGTGTTGAGGTGTGCGCTGTGAGTGGCGGCTCGCTCCCCAGCTGCTTGCACCCTAGTTACACGCTCACCAAGCAGGCTTCTCCCAAGCTCAGCTTATTGATTTACTCACCACCTGTTACAAAAACTGAGGAATAATTGGGGCACCCGGGTGGCTCAGTTGGTTAAGCGTCCGACCTCGGTTCAGGTCATGATCTCACAGTTTGTGGGTTTGAGCTCTGCATGGGGGGCTCTGTGCTGCCAGCTCAGAGCCTGGAACCTGCTTCGAATTCTGTGTCACTCTCTCTTTCTGCCCCTCCTCTGCTCACACTGCCTCTCCCTCTCAAAAGTAAAAAAAAATTAAAAAAAAACCCTGAGGAATAGTGTGTTTCGATGAAATGGGTAATCCCAAGTAGACAGTTTGGTGAATTTTAACAAATGCTTATGCCCAGGCAACCAACACCTCACTCAAGATGCAGAGCATTTCCAGAAGGTTCCCTGCAGTCTCCGTTTAGTCAACCCTCCTTTCCCTGGACTCAGAGGCCACTGCTCCCCTGGCTCTGTCACCGGGATTCATCCTGTCAGTGGGGCCCAAGACCCGTCGGCCCACACTGCTGCAGTGCGGTGAGGCTCCTTGCTCCCCTTCCATTGCTGAGCCCAGCCCCCTGGATGGACACAGCCTCCGTGTTTATCTGCGCTCTTGGAGATGCGCGTTGGGGATGCTGGGACACGGTCCGGGGCTCTTCACCAGACCATTGGCCAGAGCGGCCTCGTGTCTAGGGACACAACTTGTGTGGCCGTGACAGGGAGAAGTAGGCCCTGTGAGATACGTAGGGAGGACGGCCCTCACCTTTCTCCTTTGTGACTAAGATGAGAACGAGGGGGCCGATGCTCAGGAAGGTGAGCATGACGAGGAGCTTGACAAAAGCGCTCCCTTCACTGTGGAAGCAGAAGCTGGTCAGGTAGACGAAGGGGATGCTTGCCCAGCCGTAGAGCAGTAGCACCAGGATGACGGCCGGGACGTTTCCACGGTGTGTGAACGCTTCCTCCTTGTGGTACACAAACAGTGCCTTGGGAAAGGGGGGAGAGTGTGGGAGGGACACTAAGAGTTGATCCCAAGGATTGGAGAAAGCGTACGGTGACCCCAACGTAAAAAATAAGGCGTTGATGGAGCGTCTGGGCCGCTCAGTCGATTAAGCGTCCATATCTGGATTTCAGCTCGGGTCATGATCTCATGGTCCCTGGGTTGGAGCCCCATGTCATGCTCTGTGTTAACAATGTGGAGTCTGCTTGGGACTCTCTCTCCTTCTCTCTGTCCCTCCCCTGCTCGCTTTTTTTTTTTTTTTTGTCTCTCAATGTGTATATAATATTTAAAAAAATAAGATGTTAGCAATACTGTTCTGGTTCTCCCTGCGTTTACTCATCGGACAGTTCAGACAGCCAGCCCTGCCCCTGGAAGTCAGCACCACGATGTCGGGGGCTCGATGATGGTTACAAAGCACAGGCAGAGCAAAAGGGGACGTGCCCCGTCCCGCACAGAGCGCCAGGGGACCCACAAGCTGCAGAGCGCAGCCACGATCCAGTGCCTGCACCCGTCAGCGCCCTGGTGGACGGTGTCTGGGCTGTGAACACACGTCCCCAACGCGCAACCTCTTGGGAGCTCGCGGCAGCAGTTATGGGGATGCCGCCGACCAGACACCCTGGAGCAGGCCCCTCTACCGAGAGTCAGCGACGAGTCACACCCTGGGTGAGCTGCCAGACTAGACTTCCGGTTCTTTGCAGGCTCCCTGAGGCAAGCCCCCCCACCCAGGATGTGCAGGGGAGGGTCCCCGCACCGCGCAGCCCTCACCAGCAGCAGCAGACTGGGAACCAGGGAGGTGATGAGGTCCCACAGCAAAGCGGAGAGCCAGAAAGTAGCCGCATAAACGCCACTGATGAACTGGATGTCCTTGGCCTTCGTGGATCTCTCCTTGACTGTCAAGATGGAAAAGGAGCTGGACAGGAAAGCTATTCCGAAGAGCAAGTTGATAACAAGGTAGTGTCCTTTAAGGCTGCTGCGAAAGGACACGAGGGGAGAGGACGCCGCGTGAGCACAGCCGCTCACACCAGCCGTCCTTCACCGAAGCGGTTTGTAATCACGGCGGGAGGCAGACGAGAAGGAATAGGCGGCCAAGGGAGACGCGGTGTGGGCGGGACGGCTTTGCTGGCGCGGGACAGGCACACTTACTAGTACAGGACATCCTCCGAGGCCTCCAGGGCCGACCGGGGTTGAGGGTGGTTGGAAGCCGTGATGGAAGCCGCGGCCCCAGAGAGCAGCTTGAAGAGGAGGTTGTCCACCAGCGCCAGCGCCACGGCAGGGGAGTGGTATGCCTGGTTGTTGAACAGCGCAGTCACCGTCGTGTGGTTCCCCTCGTCCTCAAAGGAAGCAGCCACGACGTACTTGAAATCAAAGCCCTCGGGCTCCTCCTCTGCCTTTTCCAGGAGGAGGTCCTCTACCGAGTCTGCAACAGAGCAGGGCACCCCAGATCCTCACACCCTGGACCCCAGCCCCGCGCCTCCTGAGCGCCTCCCCCCCCCCCCCCCCCCCCCCCCCTTGACAGTGGGCTCCTCTGGACTCGGCTGGCCCTTCCGTTCCCCGCCCCAGCCTGCAGGGCCGCCTCCTGCCTGGGCCCACAGCCCCGGGCCTCAATAAAACTTCCCTGTAATTGACTGAAGCCGTGGTGGGAAAAAAAAGGAAAAAAGTCTTGTCATTTTTGCAGCTGACTTTTTGCCTGCACGGTGTGGCCCCAAGAAGCCCCTTGCTTCTTCCCAGTCACTCCTGTGTGCGTGGAGGACACACGTGGTCGCGCTGCAGCTCCCTGAACCTCACCGTGACCCTTGCTGCCCACGTAGCCTGCAGCCCCCAGTCTCCATCGGAACTCAGTGGTGCCTTCAAGGTCTGGCCGCACCGGGGACCCGCCTTGCTCCGTGCTGACAGGTGCTCCCCCGCGGTCCGGAACGTTCTCCACTTATTTCCCCTGCTGCAGGTCAGCCCCTGCTCACACCTCCAGCTCTTCCTCCGAAGCCTCTCTGCTACCGTCCCAGGCTGAGCTAGGTCACTACACATTGCAGCTGTGGTCACTTCTCCTACGACCTCCGGGCGCGGGGCTCGCTATGGGCTGGTGGTGACGCTGATCTTCCCAGTATGCTCAGCACACAGCACCACGGAAACACACGACCCACCTAGACCTCTGGGATCATCAGTGCTAAAGTGGCCCTCCTTCACAGCAACAGCAGCAACAGTAACCACGCTCGGGCGGGAGGCTCACAGTGTGGGCTGGGCCGGCAGACCCTGGGCAGGAGAGGGGAGGTTTCTCCTTCTCCCCATCTCCCCCACCTAGAAACCAAGGCTTGGGGACATAGGGTGCTGTGGTCCATTTGTGGGCGCCATTTTGCTCCACCATGTTCTGCATTTGATCTCTTCATTTAAAAATGTACCTTAACATTTTATTTCTAGTCAAGATAATACATGCATCTAATGTTTAAAACCGGCTAATCATACAAGACCCAGGATGAGAAACGGCAGTGCCCTGGCCTGCCCTTCGTTATCCCCAGTGCCTGCTCACCGGAGGCAACCACGCTCTCCATCCACTCAGCTGGCGTTTCGCTGGATGCCTAAAGGGCACATTTACCTATTGACGTCCTGTCCTGGAAGCCGGGACTTTGCTCCTTACCTCCATCCCCCTAAGGACTCGCCTCCTCTCCCCTCCCCTGGAATACATCAGAAAGTTGGTTAAATCAATCCACAGCTGAACCAAGTGCTATGTTATGGTAGGTTTCCTTTCTCGTACAGTCTCCCCCTGCCCTCCTGAGTTAATGTCCTGCCTTTTCACATGCGCTTAGTGATCTCTACCTCTTGTCACCAAACTCCCTCCGTAGACGTGGAAATCATCTCTCAGGACACATCACACACAGGAGGTAATTTGTCAGTTTCATTTTTGGACCTGCCGTCGTCCCCAGAAAGACACAGCGTGGCTGCATTTCTAGGCACCCTCCCCCTTTTCTGTCGTCTGGCGGTTGGGAGATGTTCTTTTGACACGTCTGGCTCTTCACCTGACTTCAGGGTGCACCCCCCACAGCCCCCGCAGCAGGCGCTGCTCTCCTGGGCCCCAGGCTTACTCAGGGTCTCCAGAGGTATCTGTTCCTCAGCCACGAGCATGTCTGAAAAATACTGTGAAAGCTGAGGACCCAGCCTGGAATTGGGAGAAATGTAGAATGGGACGATGGTTTGGCCGTACGTCTTTAGGCTCAGTTCCAGCGGCACGTTGCCCACGCTCTCGTCCAAGTCGAGGAGAGTGAGGCTTAAACTGGTGAGCAGCAGAGGCACCAGGACCTGTACCGTTAGCATCAGCAGCCAGTTGCGCCAAGAGTACAGGACCCTTTTCAGGAGCATGGCATAGAACTGTTGGCAGAGAAGGCTGAGCTACAATAAAGCAAAGGGGACACGCCATTAGCACGGCCACACAGAGGAGCTGGCCCACGGCTGCGTGGCCGCTGGCCCACCCCAGCTGCACCGTCTCCTGTTGGGTCTAACATTTTGATTATGCTCAAAATTTGCTTTGGCCTAGTGATTTGATTCACATTTACTGGCAGAAAAAGGAAGTCACAGGATGGAAAGATCTGGAAGAGTAGCCTGAATAGGTAGCAGATGTAAGCATGATATGATCTTTTTTGTTCAACCTGCCACATTATCAGAAACTTTTCGTTGATGAGGATGTGGAATGCCAGCGCTGGAGGTTTTTTTTTTTTTTTTTTTATGTTTTATTTATTTCTAGGAGAGAGAGAGAGAGAGACAGCATGAGCAGGGGAGGGTCAGAGAGAGAGGGAGTCACAGACTGAAACAGGCTCCAGGCTCTGAGCTGGCAGTCAGCACAGAGCCCGACGCGGGGCTCGAACCCACGAACCGCGAGATCATGACCCAAGCGAAAGTCGGACGCTTAACCGACTAAGCCACCCTGGCGCCCCAACCAGCGCTGGAGTTTTAATTTGGCATGACTTTTTTGAAAACAGATCCGCTGGATGAATACCATCTAATTTAACACGCATCTAGTCTTTACGCTACAAATTCCACTTCTAGTAATGTATCCCGTGGGTAAGTACACAGGACCCGTGCACAGCGTGGCCCCCTGTGGCACGGGCCATCTGTGGAAAGGGTGTGGTCACGTGCACTGATGTCCAAGACATACAGCTGGGCCTGGGGTGGGAGACCCCAGAGGTCAGTGTTGTGAGCTCCCCCTGGGCTCCTGGCTGGTGCTTCGGGAACCCGAGCAGGCAGGGCGCCCTCGAGCCTCAGGGCCAGTGTTCCTTGTGCGTGACTCATCCACCCAGAGCCTTTGTGGAGAGAGGCTTCGTGCTCAGGTTTGAGTCAGGCATTCTTTTTTTTTTTTTTTTTAATGTTTTGTTTATTTCTGAGAGAGAGAGAGAGAGACAGTGTGAGCAGGGGAGGGTCAGAGAGAGAGAGCGAGACACAGAATCCAAAGCAGGCTCCAGGCTCCAAACTGTCAGCACAGAGCCCGACGCAGGGCTCGAACCCACAAACCGTGAGATCATGACCTGAGCTGAAGTCGGACGCTTAACCGACTGAGCCACCCAGGTGCCCCAAGTCAGGCATTCCTAAGTTCCTGGCCCAAAATGAGAGTCTACCAAAGATCCCCGAAATTTCTCGCGTTGGACATGATGAAGGCCACATCCACCCAGAGCATTCGTCAAAAGGGCTGCTTTCAACTTGTCTGAGGTTGTGCCCTCAGAGATACCTCCTGGGAAGTCTCCCAAAGCAGAGCCTGGCCCAGTGGAGCCCAGATTAACTTCCTGCTGGGGCTGGAGAAGAGCCTTCTGGGCGGGGCAGGTGGCCTCGCTGGCATAGATGGCTCCCAGACCCTTTCCAACTCAGAGGCCCCTTCTGTACATGATTCGAGGGTGTGAGACAGTGGAGGCCATGTCTTCCCTACACCACGAAAAGCAGTCTCACTGTTACAGTCATGGCTTGTAGATGCCCGAAGCAAGACCATCTTGTAAGATGCACATCAGTATCTTTTTTTTTCAATAACAAAAGAACATTACAAGTTATCCATATATTTGATAAGGATGAAAAATCTTGGGGCGCCTAGGTGACTCAGTCGGTTAAGTGTACAACTTTAGCTCAGGTCATGATCTCATAGTTCATGAGTTCGAGCCCCGCATTGGGCTCTCTGCTCTCAGCACAGAGTCTCCTTTGGATCCTCTGTCCTTTCCCTGCTGTCTGCCCTTCCCTCCACCTCCCTCTCTCAAAAATAATAAAACATTAAAATAAATAAATCTTAAACTCCAGGTGATGGGATATGTGATCTATTTCACAGTGAAAGATGAAAACAGGAAGATTAAGTGTGCTTCTTTTTGACCGGTAGATTCAGTGCTTTTATTCTTTCTTCCTCTTGGTAAGAGGAAGGGCCAAGACCTTTTACTGTGACCTTTTCTGATACTTTCTTCCATGGGGTTCATCGTGGCCAGGAATCAGCAGCCTGCCGTTTCTGAACTGGACCCGGAACACGGTGTTTCCAGAACCTGGCGGGGCCTCCCGTGTGCCTGAGACCTGCACTTCTTGGCGGAATAGGGTGATTCTAATTCTAAGAATTAGCCCCACACCTGCCCTGGCACCCATTTGAAGCCCTTGCTCACCCCAGTGTTGGGATGGACTGGCAGGCCCGACCGTACGGAGAAGATCCTTGAGTGAGTACGTTTGATCCGGTTGACGGGAACCCTGCCGATCAGATGGTGAGACTGGATGGAGGGGATCTTGAGGGCTTGGATTTCTGTGCTGGAATCTGCCAACTTGTTCACCCTAAAACAAACCAGAAACAGAGAAAGAAATGCAAATTTGCAGAATCACATCTCACTTCGTTTTGTGTGGATTTAAAAAGAGAACATGACATAAAATTGGAAAGGAAAGGAAAGGAAGTTAGGACAAGAGTAATGAGGGCAGGGGTGGGGCACCTGGGTGCTCAGGCGCCTGAGCCTCCAGCTCTTGATTCAGCTCAGCTCATGATCCCAGGGTGGTGGGATCGAGCCCTGCATCAGGCTCCAGGCTGAGCACGCATGGAGCGTGCTTAAGATTCTCTCTCGGGGCACTCGAGGGGCTCAGTTGGTCGAACGCCTGACTTTTCATTTTGGCTCAGGTCATGATCTCACGGTTTTGTGGTTCAAGCCCCACATGAGGCTCTGAGCTGACAGTGGGGGTCCTGCCCGGGATTCTCTGTTTCTCCCTAGCTCTCCCTAGCTCTCTCCCGCTCGCACTGTCTCTCCTCTCTCAAAATAAACTTTAAAAAAAGATTCTCTCTCTCTTTCCCTTCCTCTGTTCCTCCTCTGTTAGTGTGTGCTCTCTCTCTAAAATAATTAATCAATTAATTAATTAAAGAATATTGAGAGAAAAGGAGCTGCACCCAGATGATATACTACTAGCAAGCATATTCTGGCTAGAAAGTTCTTTTTTAAATTAAATGTTTATTTATGAGAGAGAGAGACAGTGTTCATGCAGGAGAGGGGCAGAGAGAGAGAGGGAGACACGGAATCTGAAGCAGCTCCAGGCTCCAAGCTGTCAGCACAGAGCCCGATGCAGGGCTCGAACTCACAAACCGTGAGATGATGACCTGAGCCGTTGCCGGATGCTTAACCGACTGAGCCGCCAGGCGCCCCCAGAAAGTTCTTAAATAGGCTCTGAGTAAATATTGAATTAACTGACCAATGGCTTTTCCAAAGAACTGAGGCAATGTTAGCATGAATAGATTTCAGTACTTTCCTATACCGATGCCATATGTAAAGTAAGACAAAAATGAAATGTCCCTTAATAGCTACTTTATGAGCAAGACTCATAAACTGAAGTATAACACATAGCACTACAGCCCAAGGTCTTATTTTTGTTTGGCTCCGAGCTCAGAAAGGATTTTATGTTTTTAAATTAGATGGTTATCTAATTACCTACATAATATCCTTGATTATGCCACTAAACCTAGTAGCCTAAAACATGTGCTCTGTCTCTTCAAGAAGATGTTTGCTGAACCTCGCTCTAGGCAAAAAGAGGTATTCCTTTTTTTTTCCTTCCTAAATTGTTAGGAAGTCAAGAAACTTATTTTTATTCATAGTCTTCGGGTCGGTTATTCTACTCCTGGGAATGCATCACAACGAAACAGTGCAGTAAATTGTGGCTTGTTTTTCCTGCAGTAGAGTTCTGTAAAAGGTGGTGTAGGTCAGATTCTCCCCAAAGTCAGTAGCACAAAACAGCCATAAACACTTGCTGTCTCACACGGTTCTGTGGGCCAGGCATTTGGAAGGGGCTCGGCCAGGCGGTGCCGTCTTGGGGCCTCTTGGGAGGCTGCAGTCGAGCTCTGGGCCCGGCCTGCAGTGGTCTGAAGGCCAGACTGGGCGGGAGGCTCTGCTCCCAAGATGGTGCCCACATGTGGCTGGCCTAACAGCTAGCCCTGCGAGTGGAGTTCTGACAAGAATGTTTTAATTAACATGGATGATTTGGGTAAAAGTGAATAGCAACGGCGTGTGTCAGAACTTCACTCATGCATCCCTGAGGCGAGCCACACTTTTGTTGACTTGGATACTACTGTTCTAGTACTGGAAGAATATTTCCTCACGTTTTTGTGCTCTTCGTAATGAAATGGCTTGGGATAGGAGATACTTTTTGACTTAATTTGCATTATTAACATTTTCCCCATCACTTTCTTAATCTAGACAATCAACAAAATGATAAATTAAACCCCGGTGTATAAAGTATGGTTGATTTCAAGTTATTGACACAGCACGTCCATCATGCAGATTTAAGTAGATGTAAATAATCTTAAGAGCACTGATAATAGTAGAATGTAGCCAAATCATGATATCTTGTGTATTACCATTTATGACACTTCGATTTATAATTTATAGTTTTATAATTTCATTACAGGAAATATGTGTTCAGTTTTCTTTCCCTTCCCGAGACTGAGCTCCGAAAACACTCACAACTTCCTCAGTGGTGACAGCAGGTAAGGCATGTTCTGTTTTGTGAACAAGGTGACTTTTATTTTTATTTATTTATTTATTTATTTATTTTTAATATTTTTATTTATTTCTAGGAGAGAGAGAGACAGCGTGAGCAGGGGAGGGTCAGAGAGAGAGGGAGACACAGACTCCGAAATAGGCTCCAGGCTCTGAGCTGGCAGTCAGCACAGAGCCCGACGCGGGGCTCGAACCCACGAACCGCGAGATCATGACCCAAGCGAAAGTCGGATGCTTAACCGACTAAGCCACCCAGGCGCCCCAACGAGGTGACATTTAGAGAGGACCTGAGGATGAGGGCTGTTTGCCGAGAGAACCGTCTATGGGATTACAGGGCTGGAACTCCGAGGCTCCCCTCCCAGTCTCTGGGAGGGGAGGGGGCTGGAGATTGAGTTCAAGTGCCAGGGGCCAATGATTCAATCAATCAATTGTGCCTATGTAATGAAGCCTCCACAAAAACCCAAATGGGCAGAGAGCCCAAGAGGGCTTCCGGGTTGGTGACCGTGTGGAGGTGCAGGGAGAGCGCCGGCGTCAGAGAGCAAGGAAGCTTCACACCCTTGCCCTGCATACGTGTTCATCTGGCTCCTGGATCATGTCCCTTCTGATGAACTGGTAGGAAAACTGGTGTCAAGTGTTTCTCTGAGCTCTGCGGGCAATTCTAGCGAGTTAATTGAAGAGGGTGTTGTGGGAACGTCCGGTTGATGGCTGGTGGGTCAGAAGCACAGGTGACCACGTGAAGTTGTGACTGGGGTCTAGAATCGGGGAGTGGGGGCATTCTTGCAGGACTGAGCCCTTAAGCTGTGGCTTCTGATGCTGTTCTCTAGGGAGAGAGGGTCAGGATGGAGTTAACTGCTTGGGAGTGTGAAAACAAAACAAAACAAAACTGGGGCACCTGGGTGGCTCATGTCATGATCTCGTGGTTGGTGGGCTCAAGCCCTGTGGTGGGGCTCTGTGCTGACAGCTCAGAGCCCAGAGCCTGTTTCAGATTCTGTCTCCCTCTCTCCCTCCCTCTCTCCCTCCCTCTCCTCTCTCTCTCTCTCCCCCTCCCCCGCTCGTACTTGCTCCCTCTCAAAAATAATGTAAAAAAAACCCCACACTTTGGAATTGCTATCAGAATTATACTACTGTTTTTGTTGTGATTTATTTATCAGCTTATTCCATTTAATTTTTTTTTTAAATGTTTTATTTATTTCTAGGAGAGAGAGAGAGAGAGACAGTGTGAGCAGGGGAGGGTCAGAGAGAGAGGGAGTCACAGACTGAAACAGGCTCCAGGCTCTGAGCTGGCAGTCAGCACAGAGCCCGACGCGGGGCTCGAACCCACGAACCGCGAGATCACGACCTAAGCGAAAGTCGGACGCTCAACCGACTAAGCCACCCAGGCGCCCCCATTCCATTTAATTTTTTTTTTTTAATGTTTTTTTTTTAATTTTTTATTTCTAGGAGAGAGAGAGACAGCGTGAGCAGGGGAGGGTCAGAGAGAGAAGGAGTTACAGCCTCTGAAACAGGCTCCAGGCTCTGAGCTGGCAGTCAGCACAGAGCCCGACGCGGGGCTCGAACCCACGAACCGCGAGATCACGACCTAAGCGAAAGTCGGACGCTCAACCGACTAAGCCACCCAGGCGCCCCCAGCATTCTTGATAATTTAATAATTGGCCCTTGTGAGCCAAGAAGAGCCAGCTCCGGCACACCTCTGGCAGGGGACTCAACTCCTTGTTGGCTGTTGCCAAAAGGCCTCAGTTCCGGGCCGTGTGGACTTGTCCCTGGGGCCGCCGGGGTATCCTCCCAGGTGGTGGCTGGCTTCTCGCAGCCTGAGCGGTCCAAGACAGAGACCAGAGCTGTCGCGTCTCCTGTGAGCTGGCCTCGTTAGTCACTCCGTCAGTTCTGCACCACCTTGCTGCCTCTGTGGCGCGGCCCTATTTACCCCGCGACGGTGAGCCGGGCAGGCTCTCCCTGTGCCGAGACCCGCCTCTGCTCTCGACCAGACTGTTTCTCCTGGACTTTTCTAGGCTTTCTACTTGTCCTTGCTTTAGCTTGTCTACAGATTGGGGAATATTGGTGAGCGTTATCAGGATTCGCGTGGCCTCTCTTTGCGGCGTCAGCTGGGACCCGAGGAGGGTGTGTGGGGAAGGGCAGGAGCCGCACGGCATTTCACCGTGATAGTTTCTTTGGCCCTGTGAAATGTTGTGGCATAAGGCTGTATTTTGAATTTTTCTTCCTCATTCACTTTCTGCTAGTAGGATTCTTTTGGTGAGGGGGCTATTTAAGAAAACAAGACTGTCATGTATTAAGACTGATTTTCAGGAAGGAAGGGAGGGGAGTTTTCTACTGCGGGAGATTGGCACCCACCACACCCCGGCGTCTTCGCACAGATGAAGTGCAGACTAAGAGGCGGTCCGAGGGCTTCCGCTCTGCGGTATATGGTCTCTAACTGACCCTCCAAACCCCACCGCCTGGTGCTCACACTCTATCATAATCTTCCTTGTTCTTCTCCCAGTTTTACTGAGATATAATTGACATATAACCTTGTGTAAGTTTAAGGTGTACAACATAATGAGCCAATATATGTATATACTGTGAAGCCATCACACAGTGAAGCTCAGGTAACGTCCGTCACTTTACAGACTTAAAATATCTTTCCTTGTGGTGAGAACTTTTAAGATTTACTCTCTTACTAACCGTCGAATATACAATAAATACAGTGCTGTTAACTACAGTCACTGTGCTCTACTTACTTATCTTGTAACTGGAACTTTGTACCTTTGGCGCCCCTTCGCCCAATTCCCTTACCCCACCCCCACCCCC